AGTGCCGTTGATCACTACTCTCCTGCTGAGATCGGAAGCTTGATTGGATGAGACCAAACATCTCTTCATTGCGGGCGGTGCCATCTACACATGTGCGTCCGAGCAAGTGATTGCGTTAATCCAGACGCAGTGTGTTCTTGTTGTATGATTGGTGGGTACATCCCCATTATCAGCGATGGGGAATAGAGCGGTATATAGGCGTCTCTAAAGATTCCGGCGTCAAGTATACTCGGCACCTGACACCCCGTTTATGCTGGATAGTGATGACGCCGCGAGCAGTTACTCCAGCACTATACTAATCTCTCAGAGACGCGCGTCTCACGCGTGCTTGGAGCCAGGCGATTTTTATGTGCCTCTTCAAAATGCCGCACCTTTCTCGCGGGAAAAACGCCGTGGGTGGCAACGGAGTGGGGCATTTCGTTTAAAGTGGAAGGGCTGCAGGCACCCGCCAAATGGTATATATATATATGTTTTCCTTTTTGGGGAGATATTTTAAATTTCACTTGAGGAAGGGTTGGTGGAGGGCCAGAAAATAAATATCCTACAACACCAGCAGTTTTTTGAAAGAATAAAAAAAAAAAGGTTTCACGCGTTATTTTTAAGGTGTGGGGTGGCCTAAGGGGGCTGGTAGGGGATTTTTATTTTTTTGTGGGGGGGGGGGGGGGGGGGGGGGGGGTTGGCTCCCACATCACTCAGCTCACAAGTAGTAAACTGAAGGTTTGGATTCATTTCATGAATTATCAACCAGTAATCCGAAATGTACTTTGCAGGACCGAGAACAGAAAACCTTCTGGTTAATTCACAATTTTTTATCTTCAGAGCTTTAATTTTGCAAAAGTAATACATACTAAGGTTTGCCATAAAAAATACAGACATGTACAGAGAATATCAGAGAGATGCCGACACATACATACATTCATTCATTGGAGCTCTTTGAAGGAAGCTGGGTAATGCAGCGACTGTAATCTCTGAAACGATGAGGAGCGCTCGGCAAAGCTTTTCTTTAAGACCGTGAGATTTTTTCAGAGTTCACGAAGCATGAACGTTGCACCACAATTTAGTCAACTCCCTTAAAACAGCAGAGGATATGAGGTCGTACACTTTGCCGGGTGAGGTGAATCAGTGCTCCCCAAATAGGATCGGTGTCAAGAGCATTACGCAGAAGCCTTTGAAGTCACAGCTCGGCATGAGCGGCATAAGCTGATGACGGTGCAATTTAACATGAGCACAATTCCAAAGAAAGGTTCATTTTGGAGGCTGTTGAGAAGGAGGATATACAATATTTGTTTTGTTTATTACACTTCACTTTGAACACAGATTAGCACAACAATGACAGGAACACAAGAACTTCGGGAAGTATTGTTTTTTACTGCAGTGGTTGGATTTTGAAAGGTCATGATATCAATAGTTAATAAACTACCATTGGACTTTTTTTTTTTGCATAGCTGGATTACATATAACTGTGAGGTTGCACTTCTGGTAAGCGCGCAACGTTCAAATCTCAAGCCATTTTACAGCTACGCAGGAAGTGGCGTGCTCTGTTCGCCCCGACACCAAGGAAAGGAAATTAAAGCGCGGCGTGTCAGCGCCACGAGTCTGGAGTGCTACACAGACGACAGCGTCAGTCAGCAGCGGCAGGCGTAAACCCAGGAATTCAAAACCAAGCACCTATACAAATGCCACTGTATTCACGCCGCAGGCCATATAACCTGCGCTGTTTCCTGATTCAACCCAATCTCAGAAATCATCGTATATATGTAGAAACACACAAAATAGCAGCAATTGGAATTGCTGTAACTGGCTCTACCAGGACTGCGGGGGATGAGGCGAAGCGTGGTGGTCGCCAGTTTGGGGAACAAGTCTATTCGATCCCACGGTGTCTTTGAAAAAAGATTCCACCCTCAGAATCAAAATATGTAGGTTTCTTCTAACCTGGAGGGCTATTTTTCTATTTAGATTGTTTTGGTGTGAGTTTCTGTAGAAATTGAATAGTTCCTACATGAAACTGCTCACACCAGTGTGTGTCCAATGTAAGAGGGGTGTTGTTGTTTTGATTCTGGGGTGAACTGTCCCTTTAAGCTAAGCTAGCCAGCTGCTGGCGCTGGCAGTAATTTATTTAACTTTAATATGCTCACTGATACCAAAATGTCATACTGTGTGTTGATCAGACTGGATATGTAAGATTTCAACGCTTAGCATTAATTGGCCTTATTGGTTATAACTCATCTTGGCACAAACACCTCCGCCACAGTCCAGGTTCTTGAAGACATTTTCCAAAGATGTTATTTAGAGAACCACAAGTGGTCGCAGAACAACATTAGCACACAGTAGTTGCCGTTGCAGTTTATACATCAACGTTTAAATGGAAGAAAAGCGACTTAAGGCACTAGAACTGAACACTAGAACGGTCACAGATGGACAATAATTCGCAGGTATCAGTTTTAAACAAAAACATCCCTTTGGTGTCATGCTTCATTTTTTAAGATGGGACAAATATAAATGGAAAATCATGTGTCTACAGACAGATGGGTTTTTTTAATTGGATTTTAGCTCTAAAAGTAATATGCTTTTACACTGGAGAGTTGATCGTATCTGACTAGCGGCTTTTCCCTTTACTACGCAGTCTGAGCACCAGGGCAGCTTAGTTGTTGCCAGTTATGATCTCAGCAAACAAGAGGACAAGAGTTGCTTACATGACGCAGAGACAACTAGAGTGTTGGTCATTTCTGTTTTGTCAGTACGTGCTTGTTGTGTCTCCGAGACAAGCACCTTCCAATTGAATTGGATAGTTTAATTGTGCAACCATCTGACAATACATTATCAACAAAACATTGTTGGGAAAATATTAACATATTTTGGAATTATACTTAAATCAGTTTCTCCGTTTTATAGCATGAAACGGGTTTGGCCCTTACAATATATAAAATACAAACTGAGGACGACTTGACGTGACTCTCCCTGTACTGATACACACATAAAATAAGAGGAGATACACCAGTAGGTAAAGAAACATATAAAATACAAAGAACCCGATTGACATAGTAACATGTAAAAATCCAACACGTGTGTATTAAATAAAAGAGTTGGAAGGCGAGGCTCAATAATCTCTAGTTCTTTCAGAGTGTCCCTTGCCATGAAACAAACCACCGCATCACAGACACCAGCAAGGCCTCAAAATGTCTTCAGACACCATCAATTTCTCACAAATACGTTTGTTGGTTCAAAATGTGTTTTATCTCATTTTATTCCCTTTTACGTGCTTTGCGGTTCTATTCAAATGTGATTTTGATGGAGTAATTGCCATAAGGGGGAGAAATCTACCGTAAAAGGAGCCTGCTGTGTAACACTATCTCCTGTTACAGAAGGCACTGGCCTTTACTCATCGCGGAGCGTCTACCGGCTAAACCACCAGAAGATATGACTGTAAAATGGCGGTAATCCAAATACTTATGTACTCTGACTCGAGTGAAAGTACACATCCCGAGGCCTGATTGCACCGGTTCTTTCCCTTACGTCTAGTGAAAGTGCAGAATGAATAGCGAATAAATACAAAGGACATAATGGTATCAGAAATCCAGATGTCGCTCTGTCTGAACCTGGACGTGTCTCAGCCGTGGAGACGCCGTTGACCACGTCAACAGTAATCTGAAAATGTGCGGCGTGGAAGGAAATCCGCCCTCTACTCCAGTCTCCAGAGTTTGTCCTGGACAACTTCCAGTGGCAGCCATGCTGCCTTTTTGACTGTGTAAATAGTGTTTATTTCACAGCAATAATACCCTCCAGCCAGCAGAGTATTATTGCTGATGTTCGGGGTTTAACGTTAAAAAATAAAATAAACAAAAGCCTTTGGAAAGTAAGGAGATAAACTTATTTTTCTGTGAAATGTAAACAATGTCACTGCAAGAATAAATAATTCCAAAATAAATAAAAATTAAAACATTTCAAAATATAAGTCCGGCAGGAAGAGAAGAACCATTTAAAAAGGTCCAGTCATTTGTTAGCCCGATGCATCATGTGTGAGTCACACAGAGACACAATGGGAGGAATATCAGCCAATAAAAAAAAGTTAGTTCAATTAAAGGTGGGTAGAATAGTACACACATCTTCTGTAGATCCTCCCTTGGTAATGGGCGAATAATCACTATTTTTATCTTTAGTGAGGCAAACTCATTGTTTTGCCTCTTGCAGAGCTTATGTACACAATTAAAGACATAGAAAGTGGGGACATTGGTTGGCTGAGTGAGCTAAAGCGATGTTCAGAAGAGACGCCAGAGAAACCAAACGGTTTGTTTTGCGTTCCAGAGGAAGAGCGTGAACTACAAAAATGGAGGAAGGCCGCAAGGCAGCAGTGGAACCTGGACAAGCGGAGTCACATCAGTAGTTTGTTGATGAACACACAGATTGTTAAGAAGAAAAAAAAAACACTGCACTTTTATCACGGACGATGAGGTTGTTTATGGTTTTTGTAAAATACCATTTCCTTCCTGTCTGAACATAGCTGAAGTTTTTTTTTTGTAGTAAATAATGCTGTGGATGGAAGATCAGTGCATTCACATCAACCCTCCCTGTGCTGCCGACCCGTGAGTGAGTCCGGTGCTGCGTTCTGAACGGGAAGCGGCTACAAAGAGGGAAGGTGCCACGCGATCAGCGTCAGTTCCTTTATGCCTCAAAAAGGAAGAACAGCAGGTCAACTGCTGCTTTGGAAGAGGGCGTGTGTGTGTGTGTGTGTGTGCGGGTGTGTGCGTGCGTGCGCGGGCACGGAGAGGGTGGGTTACTGCATTTTCCCGCTGTGGACGCTTAATGTCCCCGGTGTCGGCTGTGGGCCATGAAGAGCAGCACCTTGCGGATGCCCCTGAGGCGATCTTTTAGAGACGTGAGGGCCAAGAAGGGCAGCTGGGCTCTGCCCTCCAACGGGAGAACGGCGAGCAGCCACCAGCACCACGAGGGTCCGTTTGGACTGACCTGAGGGAGGAGGACGCAAAGGGAGAGGGGTTTCAACACAGGACAGCAGGAAGAGAGGGAAGTTCATTCAATAAAGTATCTATCTATCTATTTCTTTGGTAAAGTCGCTTTTCTTTGTTCAGCCTTCGGGTCCTCAATCACTTTCATGCTATATTGTCTTTTTACTGCTTTTATTTTATTATTATCATTTGGTTTTATTGCTTCATCTACCATATTACGTTTCAGTGTTTCCCATTGATCGTTCTTACTTTTCTCGTGTCTGGATGTCAGGCTTTCTGTTTATTTGGTATTATCTGGGTTCGGGTTATCATCATCATAATGTTTTTGCTTTGTAAAACGTTTTTTTCAGCCAGGAATCCTGTTCTATTTTGAGAGAAACACACGTAAGCGGAGTAACTGGACTTTTAAAGCGGGACTCTGTTAAGGTTGCGCGTGTACCTGAGGTTCAGCGTCTTTCTGGGGCATGGCTCCAAAGTGTCCCTCGATGCGTTCCTTCTGCTCAGCCTTCAAGGTGTTGACCCACACCAGGGCCTGGTCGTACACCGCGTCGTGCAGCGCATGCAGCTCGCGCTCCGCCTGACCCTCCACCTACACACACACACACAACCTTTGTCAGATATCTCAAGGTATTCCTGTATCAAGCTTTCCCATCGTGCCTCTCGCAGCTACTCCCTCACCTGCCCAGTCCTCCCCCCCTCTCACCTTTAGGTCCTCCAGGTACTCGATATCGGCCGTGTTGTATCCATCCCTCTCGCTCTGCTGCACAACTTTGAACCTCCGTCTGCCGATGGTGTTCACCACTGAGCGGCCGTCGGAGAAGAACTTCACATCGCGGATCTCCAGCAGACACCCGTAGTCGGCGAACCTGAAGACGGGAGGAGGGCGCGTTACACGGCTTCCTGGATCCATACTCCTACCCGCGGGGGAGGGACTACACGCAGCCCCCGCCACACTTCAAGCACCGAGTCCCGCACTCACCCTTTGCGGTTGTCTTCCAGACACATGCCGAAGCAGTTGGTCCCCGTCTCCATGCATCGGCGAATCATCAGCCTGTAGCACGGCTCGAAGATGTGGAGCGGGCACGGGACCGTGGGGAAGGCCATGGTGCACACGAATATAGGCACATTCTTGTTAAGACTGCGGAGATGAAGGGGAACATGCGTTTAACACGGAGCACAGCGGAGTCGTATCTCACGGGAACACAATATCAACACTAAGCAGGAAAGCCCATGAATGTTTATAATAAGGGTCTACAGCTCTGCCTAAACGCATCCGGGGAACGGCCACTATAAACAAAAGGAGACTGTGAGAGGTTCAGTTATGCTCCCGTTATGTGTTAGAAAGAGCTTCTGCCTCCAGGAAGGTAGGACTTGATGCCGGAGGTCAGACCTGCGTCCCCTACAGTAGGTCTCTACCCACAGTAACAGCAGCAGCGCTGTGTCAGTGAGCGGAGGAGAGCAACCGGAGGGCACAAACTCACTTCGAGAACTCGGCCATTTCATCCTGGTGGATCTTCTGTCTCTCTATGAGCTCAGAGGGAAGATACTTCGATATCAGGTTCTCCGTTAGTACCGTCTTACAGAACTGCCTCTGGACCAGGTACTGGAGGGGGAGATACGGACTGAATTAGAGACAGTTTCAATGCAGAAGCCGAGCGCTTTCGATCGGGCTCGATGACGGCGGGACGTACCTCGGACAGCTCCTCTTTGCAGAGCGGACACTTGGGGTTGTGGTCCAGACATCTCTCCAGACACCGCAGGCAGAAGGTGTGACCGCACGGCGTCGTCACTGGCTCATAGAAAAGTCTGCAGGGGGGGGGGACAACAGCTTAAAATCCGATCGTACAGGTCCTGTTGACATACTGCCAAAGAATTGTGAAGTACATGTAAATTTGAGGCGGTTTACGGTTTTTACCGTCTTAGTAAATACTCAGATGCAAACCTCACCTCATACACAGAGAACAATCCAGATCTGTCGGGTCCAAGACGTCACCAGCCGCAGAGCCGGGCGGGTCCGTCCCCTCTGCAGGTTCTGAGGGGGGAGATCAAAGAATATTAAATGAGACACGTATGCCGCCAGTGGAGGGACGGCGAGCATGTTTTGCTCGGCTGCGTGCACGTGTTTGGAAACTCCAAAAGCTCACCAGACTTTGCTCTCTTGCGATCATCTCGCCTCTCCTGTCCATCCTCTTCCTCCTCCTCTTCGGTGCTTCTCTGCTTCCTTTTGAGGAAGATCTGAGGGCGGGAGAAGGAAAATGGAACCTTGTGTCCACTCAACGTCCCGCTGTTCTTTACGAGGAGCCGCTGCGGGAGCCTCTTACCTGGTGCGGAGGGCTGACGCCGTCCTTGACGTGTGCTCTGAAAGACGTGTGCGCGTTGGAGTAGTCCGCGATGTGTTCAGGGACCTGATTGGTGACCGGAGCCAGGAGGTGGCAGAGTAGCTGAGAGAAGTTAGGACACACAGGGAGGAGATTATTCTGCATGCATTTATAAAATCACAATTCTAGAAACGGCCAATTAGTTTTTAACTATGAAGTAAATCAACTACTAAAAAGGGGGAAGGAATTATGTGAATATTTAATATCCTGCTTTCTGTTGCGCCACAGTGAAAGAAAACTTCATTTCTTTGAGCTGCGGACAGAACGATACGTTCAAGGACGTCATATTGACATTTAATAAATCATCAATTAAAATAACCGTTGCAAGCCTTAACAAGCAACCTGACAAAACAACTTCCCGACGTCTTTGGAGGGGGGGGGGACACGTGGAATAATAGATATTAATCTGTGGCTGTCCACTACAATGTAATGAGGGACTTACCCTGTGAGCCTCGGCCTTGGCCAGTCTACAGTCCGGCTCTATGGACAGACAGACCAGGTACTCCCTCAGAGCCTCCTCCGTCCTGCCCAGAGACACCAGGGCCTGCGCCTTACGAACATGAGCCTGCAGGAAGGACCAAGACGCATCATTTATCCGGCAGACGTGCATTTGAACAATGCTCACTGATCATAACATGTTTATATAAATGGAGGAACCGTTTGTCTGCCATACCTTGGACCAGTGAGGCGCGAGTCTGCAGGCCACCTCGGCGTCCCTCAGGGCCTTCTCATGGCGCTTCAGGCCGGAGTGGATCTGGGAGCGATTGCTGAAGAGTATGTGGTCCGTGGGTGCTGAAAGGTGGGGCGGTGGGGAGGAGGGTTAATCAAAATAACAATAAATGTATCCTTATGGTTGAAATTTGCTTTGGATAAACGTGTCAGCTAAATGACATGTAATAATAATGTAAAATAATGCAGAGCAAAAAAAGGAAAACGAGCCACCAAAAAGCTCAATACACGGGTTACGTAACGCATTCGAGTTACGCAAAGGAAGGCATGTTTATATAGAACGCTTTTCTGCACATTACAAAACGTGTTATGCAAAAAGAAAAAGAAAAAAAGAAAAGGGGGCCGTCTTACAAAACCGTGCAGCACCATCAAGGTCGGCCACATTTCAGGCTTCATAACTTGAACAACGTATGCAAATGTGGCAGTGAGACATATGGGAACCAGGAGGGGATGCGTCACCTCAAATGAAGACAAAAAGGAGAAGATCTTCAATAACTCGAGGTGACTGTGGCGGTGGGAATGCAGTTTAGCACACAGTGTGAGATGGGAGGAGAGCAATTAGCTTGATCTAAACTTGACGCAGATACAAATCTAAAACAACCAAAACTGAATCCCACAATAAGTGGTAAATGTGCAAACACTATGGGCCGACTTGTTTAGGGGCATAAAACATATTCATAACTAGTGTACAAGAGTTCTGTTTGGAATTACGTGCCTTTATTTAATAAACATTGATGAGGAAACCCGTCTCCTAAAGAACGGTTTGAAGCTGGACCTTCCAAAAAAAGACAGATAACTGATTCTTTGTTCGATGTTGTTCATCGAATCCCCCCTCTGTCCCCGTGGGGGCCGGCTGAGCAACAGTCAGTCAGTCTTTAATGCCTGAGCAGCTGCAACAGCGTCAGCCGGGGGGCAGCGGGGGGCAGCGGACGAGAGAGATGCAGAAGAAATTCAAACTGGTGCTTCCAACAGCCTGGGGGAAAGCATTGGAGTCACCCTGAACCTGCACAGCCAGCGGGTCCAGTGGCCCAGCAGCACCACACAATACGAGAGGTCAAGTGAGACCAGTCGGTCCAGTCGACTCCTGAGCCAGAGGAGATCCGTGTCAGTGGTTGATTAAGCGCCCCGGGGGTCTGTCAAAGGATGCCGTTTAGCTGGACCCACCCTGGTTACTTTAGCCAGCTTTACGGCACACATGGAAGTTACACATTTTATGGCCACTTTTGCTGAATAGAAAAACCAGACCTTTGTGTGTGTGTGTGTGTGTGTGCGCGCGCAGTGTGACAGTCGCCTGCCATGAGACCAACTTCATGGCTGCCTATTTTAACAAGCCTCGGCTCACCTGCGCCTACATCTAACCTCGGGTGCGTCTCTGGGCCCCGGAGTCTCTAGTGGTGACCCGAAATAGTTCCCTTGGCCCACATCAGCCTCATTGTTAGTCGTTATCCAGTGAGAGGGGCTGTGGGGGCTGTGGGGGGCGGTGGGGGGGAGGTGTTACGCGCTTACGCAATGCTCGGTCCGCCAGCAGCCAGCCTACATAGCGGCGTTATCCAACGCGCGGCGCCGGGGCTCGCGGATGCCAGCGGAGGCAGCGAGCCGCCCCTCCGCGTGTCAGCGGAGGTCATGACGCACTTACGAAACAAAGTCACATAACGGCGTGACGTCGCTGCACGACCAGCGGCCACACATCGCGTTACGCTGGAAAGGTAGCAAACCGCAATAGAGTTAATGTAGAGTTTAAAGTAGCGGGATTTAAATTAAAAAAGTAAGCGATGTTGCCACACGCGCAGTAGGGACCCCGCGGTGAGTGCAGTGCGCCGCGGTCCTACCTATCAACACGGCTCGGTTGTACTTCTCCAGCGCGGCTTCCAGCTTCTTCTCGGCGTACAGCCCGTTGCCCTCCCGCCGCAGCCCGCCGGCCCGGTGCAAGGCGGGGAACCGCTTGGCCAACAGGTTGCTGAGCACCACGTTGATCCGGTAACTCTGGACGTCGGCCGCCCGGGAGGTGTCCCGGCACTCCTTGCACACGGCCGGCAGCCCCGTCTCCTTCCGCTCCCTCTCCAGACACTTTTTACAGAAGCAGTGTCCGCACGGCAGAGTCACGGGCTCGAACAGAAAGCTCAGACACATCCGACAGGAGAAGTCTTCGTACCCGGAGCCCGCCGCCTCGCATCCTTTCCTCGGTGTGCCGTTTCGACCGTCGCCTCCGTTTTGCCTCCCGATACCCGCCGACAGGTACTCTATGATGTTCGTTAGGAGAACCGGGTTCAGCCTCTCGATCTCCGAGGCTCGTCGGTACATCTCGAAAGCATCGGTGACTTTGCCCCCGAAGGCGAGCGCATCAGCCCGCTTGCCCGTCAGCTCCCGCCGCCTCTCTGGATCTCCGGGACCCGCCGGTTGGCACTCGTAGACGTCCACCGCCGGGTCCAAGTTCTTCGACTGGAAAGCCCGCGCCGCGAGCCGCCGCACGCTCCCGCTCTCCGTCCCCATGTGCGGGCCGGTCGTCAGAGGTCCGTCCGCCGCGTCCGTGCGAAGCGTGTCCGAGACAAACACCCGCTGCGGCTCCCGCTCGCGTGCGCTGCCGCGGTCATGACCGAGTCCACCCAGCACGCCGAAATATTCCCACAGGAGCGGGCGCGGGAGAGGGGGGGGGCGGGGCGTTACGTAAAAGTTGCGTGTCACGTGGCGCCGGCCAGCTGCGCTCATTGGGCGAGTTTGGGAAAAGGGTTACAAAACAACCTGCCATGTAACGGAGTCGGTGACGGGTCGGGAGCCGCAGCCCGTCTGACGGACACGGAGGAGTCCTGTGTGTCTCTGCACACAACAACCGACCCATGGGAGTTGTCGTCCAGAGGCGTTCCAGCCTGTGATGTTGATGTAATCACAAAGGGGAAATATGTGGCTGGTTACAAGTTGTCACGTGATTGCTTCACGGTGGCTTATGCATAGGTAAAGCAGGCATAACTGCTCACCCATCTTTGTTTTTGTTACGAAATCTGTTTTTCCTCGTAACGCTATGCAAACAGTTGTGGTACACAGGCAGTGGAGCTCTTATGACATGTCCGTCACCCCCCCTCACTGCCCCTCAGATCCATTTTCCTCAATTACAACTTAAGGCAATGAATCCTGGCCAGATATTAACTCATCAAAAAGTGTGATCAATGTTCCTTAAACGTTTCGTCTGGAATGATGCACCCAGTCGAATTCAGCTCTCCCATCCAGCTGCGTTTACAGCTACCACTGTTTTGTTGTGTAATTAAATGAATAAGACCCTGACACCCCATGTTATATACGGTGTCACCAATCACACTTCACTCAAACTGAAGAACAAGCGTTGATGTAATGAAGCTATCGCATAACACGAGTCATGCAGCCTCACAGCGGCAGCTGAGGTGGGGCGATGCACGGCAGTGTGTGTGTGTGTGTGTGTGTGTGTGTGTGTGTGGTGGTTTCGTAAGCTGTTAGCTGAACACAGCTCAAGCTTCTCTCCCCTCCACTGTGTGCCCATGAGGGCCAGGGGGGGGGGTGCACCAGCCCCAAGCGAGCCCTACCACCCGGGGGGCGGTTTGGGGCCGGTTAACAGCAGGACTCAGCAGGCGGTCAGCGGCCTTAGAGAACAGGAACTTAAAGGTGTTCGGAGAAAGTCTGAGTCACCGTAACAACAAAAGGTCCGCGTGCAAGCAGGAATACGTAGCAAGGCGTCCAAACAACCAATACCGGTTTTCTGCAGCAGAATGCGAGATTGGCTGCAGACAGACAGAGAGGTGCACACTCAGTCACAGACTCACAGGACAGATCGCATGATCCACCTGACAGAGATAACAATAATATTAACAAAATATATCCCTTCTCAATACAATAAACTCAGGCTTCTCTCATTGTATTGATACTTTTGTGCTATATCTTTAGCATCTTCCGTTATTCTGTATCGGGAGCCGGCCCGCTACATTGACTAGTATAAAAGCAGAAGTAGGTTAAGGTCAGAGTTTAATCACTCTGGTTAAGGGATTGTTCTCACAAATACTACATCCCCCGGTATTATCAGCACGACCTAAAGAGGCACACGATATCTTGCGGCCTCAGAATAAAACCTGTTGGCTGCGCGTGTGTGTGAGTTGATCAGTGTCCATGTCGGTAGTACTGGTGCTGGAAAATATAGGTCAACCTGTCTGGCCTGTGAACTCAATCCCGCGCACAGACACGACCACTGACTTCCACGCAGACAGACTGACACACATTTGAAAATCAGACGAAGTGACATATATGCAAATGAGGACAATCAAGAGTGTTACGCAAGCACGCCAACACACAGTATTTACAGATCCTGGTGTCCTACATCTTGAAATGCCCTCATGTGTGCATCTAAACAGGCCAACCAGCAGGTCTCCTTTTACACGAGGAAGAGGGATATTCACGTGATGGATAACAAGGATGCACTTGCGTCTAAAACAAGCGATATCTCGTGTATGTCGGGAACAGGCCTGTCACTTATCAAAGTAAAGAACAGATCTGTGGCCTTTTTAAATCCGTATCAAAAAGGTTTGTATTTTTACTACTTGTTAATAACAAATATTAATATATTAAAGTTTAGCTTCTAACACTCTGCTGACATTGAGGGTCAACTAAGGAAACTTTAGTCACATCATAGTTGGTGAGTGTTCTCATAAACGGAACATGCTGTTCTGGTGTTCCATTACGATATGATAATTGGTGAACACAATTCCAACATAACTTTTAGATGGATTAAAATGTGAAAAGTCAAGTGATGAACAACGTTAGTATTCTGCAACATAAACGTGTGTACAAACTTTTATCACAAACTTTCCAATTTCCAATTTTCTTTAGAGACTTTTCTTCACCAGAGTCAATAGGATTCATCCTCTGGGGACCATCAATCATATAACTGTTGAGATATTTCAGTGTGGACAGACAAACATTAGTCATGTCGCATGCTTAGAAGCAAGTGCATAAGGCTTGACTCACTGAATGATTAAGACTTTGTTGAATAACATCATGGTTATATGACTTTACAGCTAAACCTTCAGATGAGACCAGTGCTTTAGTTGTTTGTGTGTCCACGGATTTCCATACATGTGTAGGTGAATGTGTTGAATGAAGGGATCGTTACCTCTGAACAAATCAGCATTTGCTTGTACAGTAATGGATATTTTATTAGAAACATGTGGTTTGAAGACGTAAGGAGCATTGATGTCCTGATGGCAAACGTAGAAAATAACCACAAGGATCCACAATTTATATTTTTATACAACAATGCCACGAAGCGAAGGACAAGCAAACATGTTTGTCCCATCAGTGGTCTGAAACACGTGTGTGTAAAAAAAGGGTTCATTTCTTGATAAACAAATCCTTGTGTTTCAGAAGCATGTGCAGTTTTCAGACCAGGTCACATGACACCAGGGAAAGAGGCTCTTCGGGAACACTTGACTGCATTCGTATTTTGGCACAAAAGAGGCGTTGCAGTTGTCTCCAATCTCCCAACAACCCCTGAATCCAATAATGTACAAGGCAAAAACAAGGCCAATTTTTCTTTTGAAATAAAGACCACGGGTCCATGTCTTCTTGTCTTCAGTCTGGTCACTGTCAGGCGGTCCTATGGTGCAGCCAGCTGGATAAGTGTCCTTATCCTTTTTCACTCCGTCATCAGTTAATATGTGGAACGCCAACACGTCACATGAGAACACGATGGGCAGATTCAATAACTCATTAATGAACAGGCCATTTACAGGGTGAATCAGTCTTGGATTTTGAGGATGTTCCTCTTCTCCAGGTCGTTCATCTCTTTGAGAATGAGAGCCACGTTGTAGCGGAGCTCCTGGAATTTAGACACGGGCACCTGAATGACAAAACAGCCGTTCACTGACGAGGGAAAACAGACAAGGCTTCTAGGGGTACACAGCATAATGTTGCCGTAGGCCGCTCCCCCACCCTGCTTTGATTGTTAAAAACACATATATGTACTTTCGCTAGCTGTTGGGTAGAGGACGTTTTTTTGAGTCACTACATCTCACTGAAATATGTATTAAACTCAACCTGACTCTGTGACTCAGTCTGCTGCCGCACAGGAGGCCGGCAGCAAAGCTTTTTGAGTTATGTGGAAACTCATAACTTTGGAATGATTTTAAAAGCTGGGGTTTGGAAATTTTAGTTCAGTCAATATTCACACGTATTGTGTCACATTCAGTAAGAAAAATGTTGGGGGAAAATTGTTGAGCCTGCGTGGGGTGAGGCTCTCAGGAATGTGACCTTTGATGTGAGCCGGTGACTTAAGGCAGTCCAGGGTGAGATAAGACACAGATGAAACCATACGTGCCCTGGCTGACCTTTTAGATGTTGTTGATTGTCTGGGTCCATAAAGGGAGGGTCACAGGGTCACCCCTACATCATCTGGTACTTTTCCAACACTCCTCTTTGAGGGGTGGGCTGTCCTGTCCTGAGGCAGCAAAACCTCCCTGAAGTGTATATAAGCTCCTGTTCTCCTCTTCAACTTTGTCAGATCTTCCTGCTCCTTTTGGGGGAAGGAACATCTGTCCCTTTTCAGCTGAATTGTAGTCATTTGACTTCTGTCTGTGCTTACGACTTGTGCTGATGATTTCTGTATTCTTTATCTTTTTCCTATATTCTAGTTAGTAATAAATACTTAATCACAAAGCAAGCTCAAGATACTTTTGATTTCTCACATGGGCTAAATCCACAAATTTCCACCACAAAAAACAGTGAAGAAAACCATATATATACCCATACCCATATATATATATATATATAGTAACATATTACTATCATAATAACTGCACCTGAGTTCTGCCATGAACCGCAAACCGATGTCTCAACCGCTTGGTAAGGCCTCTATTTTGAAATGAATGTGGGCTTCGGTTAAACCAGGGGTGGGCAAACTACGGCCCGCGGGCCAGACCCGGCCCGTTGGGCGTTTTGATCCGGCCCGCCGAGTATTATGAATTGTGTATTATGCTCAGTATAACAATCGGGAAAGCTGATGGTTTTCCAGAGCTGAGCGACGCAGATTGGCTTCGCGATTTTGCTTTGGCTGTAGACACACTGACACACATGAATGGGCTGAACATGAAGCTACACGGGAAAGATCAGTTTGTGCATTAAAATGTACACAAATGAGAGCGTCCGAGCTTTCAAACAACAAATCACGCCACAGATCCCAGTTCACGGATGAACACCTCAGATCTGTCCTGAGAAAACAAAGCTGACACCAAACTATCATGCACTGGCAAAAAAGGGGGACCAACCACACTGTTCCCACTGAAATGCAATGTAATGTAAAATTGTTCACTTTACTTTTTAGTTATTGGCTTTTACTTCTAATTTATATTGGTTGACATGAACACTCTCTAACCATCTGATATTGGCCTGCCGTCTGTCAAATTTTAAAAGTCAATGTGGCCCCTGAGCCAGAAGGTTTGCCCACCCCTGGGTTAAACCCTCCCCAAAAAACCTGATTGTTGTTGGTTTGCAGAACCATTTAAGAATATCCAAAATGTTTCTTAGAGAGATCTAAAAAGTTTAACAGCCCTTGTATTTCAACAACTGGAGTTGACCTCTGACCTCCCAGCAGGGCGAAATTGGCTCACTCCCAAAAATGTATTCTAAACCGCCACACATTATTTATTCAGATTTACTCTCAACTCCTCTTTTAAAGACTGAAGCCATCATCCCTTTGGTCCTCTACTAAAAAAAGACACATCTGCTGGATGTGAAGAGAGAACAAAGCAGCAGAATCTGGATCGGATCCCGAGAAACACACATGAGCGGGAGATGAGGTGCGTCCATCAGTGGAATGTGCACACCGGATGCCGCTGCTGCTAATCATTTTAATTCTGGAGTAATCTGATCACGTAACGGCTGCAGTACAAGTCCTCCGTCCTGCTTCTGTCCATATGAGTAACCTACTTTGAGAGCTGCAGTTGTCCTGAAATCATCAGGCAGGTACAGTATGTGTGTCTGGAGTGTGGCGCCCCCCGCTGGGCAATGCGTCTCACTAACTTCTTCAAGTTAGTTCTTGATCCTTTTTTTTCTTTGGAACTCATTTTTTCTTAAGTGCACATTTGTATGTTTCTAACAAAAAGGATCAATGTTAATCTGATATTATATTTGTTGTTTCGGAGTTGTGACGGCAGAAATGTTGTGACTGTTGGAACACTGAAACTACAATAGTTACTCGTTTGAGTTAATTGGTTCTGCCAATATTTTGTTGGAAAAAGGCTGATTTGCCAAGAAATGGAACGGTTTCATAGCATCTGTTCTTCTTTGTAACGTGATGTAACCGCACATACAAATAGACTTTACAGTCCGGTGTATCAGAAATAGGTTCTTGGTTAAGCTGTGATTAATAAACGTTTCCTCGATTATTCGCCCGTGATCCTGTTATGTAACAAGTAACAACTGAACACTCACCAGATGGACACAATGACCATGCGTAGACAGGCCTTTCACATTAAACCAGATACAATCTGAATGCTGTGTCTGTTGTCTAGAATATATAACCATGATGAATCTAGGCATGTTGGTCTATGCGTCTTCAGTGGTGGTGTCAAAAGAGAAGAATTTTACTGAGTAGTTTGTATTCATGATCTGGAACACATACAGTTGAGTGAAAACTGGTCACTTCTTAAAAAAAAGAAGAAAAAAAACCCTTCAAAAAAAAAAAAAATCAATAGTACCTCGAAGCGCTGAAAGCTCCCATCTGATAGTTTCATCTGCATCAGGACAGAAGGCTGCAGGGCTCTGGCTAAAGAGCTGTGGAGACAGAGGAGACCAATGACTTGTATTGAATACATGTTTCCAACCCATGTTTATCATTAGAAGGAGTCAGCTGACTCGTACCACTAACTAATCCATCTGGTTTTGTATTTATTTCAAAGAAAGTAGAGACATAAAAAACAAGTAGAAAGGCTTTGATGGACCCGTTATAGGCCGGAACGTCTCTCAGTTGGCACATTACCTCGTGGAAATGGCAACGTCCACCCTCCATTTAAAGTCTTCTACCGTGGGGAGGTGTGGGTCATTCCGGGCAGTCGCTGCGTCTAGATCTGCACGCCTGCAAATGCAAGGAGAGGAGTCCCACAGCAAGGATCTCTCCATCAATGACGTCATCCCTGCGTTGCTAAACGCCAACCACAAGAAAACACACAACCACACGGGCTAAAATGTACAACAATTTAGAGCGTGTAAATTCAACACACCTGCTGCCAAAAACCACACTGGAGAAATCTGCGATGAATTCTTCTGGTATCCTGACAGACAAAAACAAAGTCAGCACAGTGCATGAGAACATGGAGGGTGTGATTAAACGACGAGCCGTACCTCAGTTCTCTGAGATCCTCTCTGAAGGCCTAAACGTGGACACAAACCTGGCGTTAAGTGTTATTTATACAACATTTACAATGTTTACATGTTAGAGATGTGTAGTGAATGTGCGATGGATGCGATGGATACCCACACAGGCGTGTTGTTCGGAATCATTAATTGTATTATTTACACTGGAGATAATGATTTTCTCTCTGTGGCGTGTGTAATGTCATCCGTGCTTGTCAGTGTTACCACGGACATACTGCGTAGGAATCAGCACGGAGCAATCCAACCATCCAAAGCAGCCAGAATGAATGTCACGCCGAAGGAAAGGGGACACCGGCTCACCTCTTGTTTCAGAGAGGACGCGGGGACGCGGACGGCCTCGGACAGGACCCGGTACACGCCGGAGACCACGTGGCCGAGCCGCTCCTGGGGGACGGTGCTGCTCTCGGCGATGGACTTCATCACCTCCCTGCAGTCCTTCCCCTCCAGCCCGCTGACCACCGCTGGACACACAGGAAGCCCGCAGAGTCATGTCAACTACCCCGACCGCGGGGTAAACGCGAGCCGCCGCCGATGCCCCAATGCGTGACTCCTCTAGCAGCTATTACACGTATTAGCTAGGGGCATTTAGACGTCGAGCTTGAAAGGTTGAAAAGAGACAACAAGTGACGCCGTCGCGAGCAGCTAACGTTAGTCACGTGATTTACCTTTCAGTATTTTTCTGAACATCTCGTGATCCACATCCTTTAGGTTTTTCGACATTGAGTCTATTTCTGGTGGTATCCTTCCTCCCAGGAAGCTGGAGTCCTTGGTGTGGCTCACAGACATGACTCGCCGTGCACTGATAAACCGTGTGTGGCGTTAAAAATAACAAAAAAAGAGAAACTCACGAAAAAAAACAGTCGTTAGAGCTCTCTTTCATCGGAGCTAGTTTTTTGTGTTTACGCGATAGCTTCCGCCTCCAAGTCACGTGACGCCGCGCTCGTTCCCGGGAGTCTCGCGGTGACAACTTACTGAGGTCATCGTTGGAAGAGAAAGGAATTGCAAATGGAGGGGGAAGAAATAATCATTCTCTGAACGACATAAGGTTTGTGTTTTAATGTGGTTAGCTCCTATATCGCAACGTCGCCATGTGTGTAAACCGTTTATATGTGGTGTGTGCGGGACTGGGTCGAAATTGAGGTTAGTTAAGTGTCGTTTTGTGGCATGGTAATCGTTAAGCTGACATTCGCAGGATTAACGTTAGCGACTGTCGATAGCAGCTAACGACGTTAGCTGGTGTTGTGCTCAAAACGCAGACTGCGCTTTACCAAATACGTACACGTGTATTGAAACCTTAAGGTTACATGCACCCTCATGCAACTATTATTTAGTGCCGCACTCTTATATTTGTATTTTCGTACGACAATATCTTTACAGACACGTATTTTACTCTGTTGACAATAACAACAATTAACGCCAGCTAGTAGAGTTGGATTCTTCACGTTGTTGACACGTACCAATTAACATTAGCAGTCTCTTTAGCATGCGACATTACGCCCCTAACATTAACTAACTGCCGTCCGCTAACGTCACAAATGTTACCAGCAAAGACTTTACGCAAACTAACTCCAGAATCTTATGATGCTAACTAAGCCAGCGAGATCCTCCCTGTGACACTGGCACGCTATGGCAAGTCTGTGGCAGGCGTCAGTCAGGCTCCAGGACAGTGGCACCTCGGTGGCAGCTAGGTGCCAAAGAGTTGGCACTTAAGTGTTAGTCAGGGGTCACAACGGCGACTCTTGATCGGCACCCGACAAGGAAGTGTTGGCTTCACAAAAATGGTGGAATATATGAATTAAATAGTAGATGCCTGTATAATAAATGTTTATAATATTGTGTAATATTACAAATTGTTCTTGAGTTGAAGTGTTGCATGTCACATATAATGACTTCATACCACAGATCAAAGGTCGTGGGATGAGTGCAAAGGAAATAACATTAAAACGGTTAATTTTCTAACCAAATACTTACTATATATAAAAATAATACAGATAAAGACCATTCACTATCCACACAATGTGCATGTTTTTATGTTTTAAAATTAACATTACAACAGTTTTCAAACAACACATGTACTATAAATACACAAATATAACAGAAAAAACAGACTAGTTTTCTTTAGTTTACTGGCTGGATTCGAATTGTCATAAAAAGTACCTCATCAGATCTATTCATAACCACTATTCCTTGACCTCCATGGAAACCGTCATAGGTTCAAGGAAAGATGGTTAGAATTCATGAGAAGTTAGGAAAAGACATTCCTCGTATTCCTCTTTTATCATACAAATCTAATCCCTTGAGCTCTGGAGCTCCGTGATCCTCACCGCTGCTGTCGCAAACTCACGGAATGTCAACTCACGCTCCTGAGTTTTCTCTGTTGTTTCCCTGAGCTGCATTTGAAAACGTTTTTTCTAAAGCGGTAGGTCGGGTGCCGAACGAGTGTCGCTTCTGTGGCACCTAACTGACGACTGCCACAGACTAGCCATTGCGTGCCAGTGCCACAACGAGGATCGTGTTCTTGCTGAATATTTCGATGAAATAACGTTTTGTTTTGGTTACTGCGTGCAAGGTTGCTGTAGTACCGTAAAATCTATATTTTTTTCCAACTACCTTTTATTTGCATTAAGGAACTTTAACGATACTCAGTAGCAACTTGTAAGTCCATTTTCTTTTTTCTAGTTCATAATGTTTTTTAATTGAAAGAGTCAAACCGCGTCGCCCACAAAGCTGAAGAGGGATAACGTTGCGTTAAAAGTACACTTGGACTTCTCGCTCTGTATTTTATTTCACTTCCAAGCCCACACAACAGAAGGTACATTATGATAAATACATGAATCTGCAGCACATGGGTAACAGTTTTCCTCTCGATAAATTTCTGCATAGCTAAGAAAATAGATACATTATGTCCTTTAGCCTGTTGATGAGAATTGCAAAAACTATCTTTTTTGCCTGACTCGTTCCAACATATCATTTACAAAAAATAATGTACCATAGAAAGAAACCAAAAATCTAACGTTACTTTGTTACAGACACTGTGTTGATGATTAAGTTATTCTAAATACAAAATATCAGCATTTGTGGTTCAGCCTCTACATCAGGGATTTTTGTATACAAACAATTTGTATGACATGGAAGATGAATAGCTCTATGGAAACAGTAATGCGTGACTGTACAACCCAGTGCTGGTAAACAATCCCTGCAATAGATACAAACTCTTTTGTAAAGCTTTTTTTTGAGTGTTCTTTTGTTCAATTTGATGGCGCAGCTTCGTATTAAAAAGGACTTCGTTAGGTTGGTCTCACCGTTTTCCTGTGTCTGTGTCAGGTCCATCTAGCCATGTCTGAGTCTCTGTATGAGAAGTTCTTGGCCCCAGAGGAGCCCTTCCCTCTCCTCTCCCAAAGAGCAAACCTCAGCGACGTGGGAACCCTGGATGTCAGCGACTTTGGCTGTCAACTCTCCTCTTGTCACAGAACGGATCCGCTGCACCGCTTCAACAGCAACAGGCAAGGGGAAAGTGTGTGTGTGTGTGTGTGTCTGTGTGTCTGTGTTCACTCACGTGTGTGTGAGGGGAGAGAGTCCCTCAGTGACTGCTTTCTATATCATTTATAATGTAAAAGGTCTTTCGGTGGTTGAAGTGTCTCCTTCCAGTGTGTGCACGACACACACAGGAAGACGATCTGAACCATTTCCTCAAGTGCTTTTGCAAGATGAGCTTTTGACGTCCACTCGCTCTTCTCCCCAGGTGGAACCTGACTTCCTGTGGGACCAGCGTTGCCAGCTCGGAGTGCAGCGAGGAGCTCTTCTCCTCTGTGTCTGTCGGGGACCAAGAGGACTGCTACTCCCTCCTAGATGACCAGGAACTGACCTCTCTGGACCTGTTTCCGGAAGGCAGCGTTTGCAGCGACGTCTCCTCCTCCATCAGCACCTACTGGGATTGGTCCGACAGCGAGTTTGAGTGGCAGGTTGGTTGTGACCTGGTGATGTGATTTCTTTCAGTTCTGTCTTTAAATCAAACACATTCGGGAACGTATAGATAAATAAACCACAATAATAAACCATAAAACAAAAATGAAGCAAATAAGTCCAGTGCAATATAAACGTTTTTTTAGTTCTTGTTTTTGTTGCACTTCAACCAATCCACTGTGAACCTGTGAATTTCCCCGCTGAAGCAATAATTAATGGTCTTCTCTTGTGTCTCTCCTCTGTCCTCCCAGTTACCAGGAAGTGACATTGCCAGTGGCAGCGATGTCCTCTCTGACATCATCCCGAGCGTGCCGAGCTCGCCCTGTCTGTTTTCCAAGAGGAAGCCAAAGCCGCATCCTCACCGCAACCTGGATGAGTTACCATGGAGCGCCATGACCAACGACGAGCAGGTGAACAAAGCCGTTGCGTTGTATTCACCAGGCAGTCCGTTTACGCTCTGTTAAACACTCCCCATCCACAGTTCAGCTTTCTCTGTAGACGAGAGGGAAAAATCACAGCCACGCTTCTTGTGTTTTCCAGGTGGAGTACATCGAGTACCTGAGCCGGAAGGTCAGCACAGAGATGGGCCTGAGAGAGCAGCTGGACATCATCAAGATCATCGACCCCTGTGCCCAGATCTCCCCCACCGACAGCGAGTTCATCATCGAGCTCAACTGTCTCACGGACGACAAGCTCAAGCAGGTGAGCTTAGTCAGTTAATGATAACACTGATTGATAATATAGGCCTTCTATACATACCTGTTATTCTATCTTAGGAAAAGAGTCGATGATACATTAAATGGTCCGAAGCATATATATAAAATCATTTGGCTGTCTCATCCGTACGGAAACAAAGTGCTCCGTCAAGACTTTAACCTATAGATACGCCGCATGTAAGAAGGTCCTTCGCTGATATTTGGTTCTCCACCCAGGTGCGTAACTACATCAGGGAGCACGGCCCCCGGCAGCGGGCCAGCAGCACCAGAGAGGGCTGGAAGAGGAGCAGCCACAGCAGCGCCAGCACCGGCGGCGTCAGTGCGGCCAGCAGCAGCAACGGCAGCATGGTCAGCTCTGCCAGCTCCTCCGCCGGCTCCACGGCCTCCAACTCCGTGGCAGGTGAGGGGCAGCGACAAGAGAAGCCCCCGTGGCAGGAGGGCACCTTTTAATGTTGCAATTTCTCATTACTACAGCTTTTAAAACGGTTGATTTCAACCATTTTTTGAAAAGTCACTTCCTGCTTGTAAAAACTATTTCCGTCTTTGCTGTCTTCCAGGCGGTCCGGCATCAGCCTGCAGCGGAGGCAGCATCGCTAACATTAGCAGAGCTCACAGCGACGGCAACCTCTCCAGCGCCGCTGAGCGTATACGAGATTCTAAAGTAAGCCGTGAGAGTGTGTGAGCCGCCCGAAGGGGGGCCGGACCTTACTATGTCCACCCCTACTCTGCTTAATTTGATGTTGGCTTGTTTTAAAGCCTTGAACCTCAAATCTCTCTCTCTCTCTCTGTCAGAAGCGCTCCAAGCAGCGGAAGCTCCAGCAGAAGGCTCTGCGCAAGCGGCAGCTGAAGGAGCAGCGGCAGGCCCGCAAGGAGAACCTGAGCGGGCTGTTCCTGAACGAGGAGGTGCTGGCGCTGCGGGTGACTGAGGAGGATGACCGCGGCGACGACCTGGACATACTGATGTGACACCAGTGAAACTACCAGTGCTCCCTCTATGCCCCACCACCCCCACCACCCGCCTCCCAGAGCACCAGAAACCGATCACGGCTAAGCCTGCCTACAGCAATAATGCTAACATACTGATCATGCTTTGATTAAATGTTGACCTGTCCAGCCTGCTTAAGGCCAGTTCGAATGCTGCCACAACTGTGTGCGTGTGTGTACACACACATAGTTGTTGCAACATCAAACACACTGTACCGAGGGGAGGTATTTGAGGTTAATACAGCTATCAAGCTGGTAGATTCTGTCCCCACTAATGCAGCCATCGCTGGCGGTAGGAGAGGTTGTGTACGTTACGTTTCTTGTCTATGACTTCCAAGGGGGTGGAGCTATATGCCTTGTGGCAGCATTTCACATCCACCCACTGTCCCCCCGGGGCTGCGGATGGTTTGATGGCGCGTCTTAAAGTGGCTCAAAAGTATTGGAGCGCGTTTTTTTTTTTAGGTGAAAGCAGATTGTCTGTAAATACGTGTTGCCATGGCAAAAATCTGGGGAGCAACAATCCTGACATTGAAACCTTTCATTGAAGAGGATATATTTTGTTTTTGTGTTCTAAACAGGGGATGCGTCCCCCGCCTCCCCCCTTAGCTAAGAGACGTCTGAGCTCTGTCAGTCTTTCTGCCCTCCCCCGAAGGCCTAGAAGGAGCACTGAATCTGTATGTTGACCCCCACACCGCGCCCCCGCCACCCCCGCAGTCCTTAAACTAACAACTGGCTTCGTTAATAGCTTACACCTGTTTTAAAGAACAACTGGCGTATTGTAAATACATGATAAATAACAGCATATTTACTGCTTGCTTTTTCCTTTTTTTGCCTTAGTGAAAAAGGTTTGATTTCACGTTTTCTTTTTTCCTCGTGTGTATATTTATTTATAAATATATCTATATTTATTTATGGGTATAGATATATCTATAGATTTATAGATTTATATTGTGATATGGTAGTGAACTAATTGGTTATCGTCGCTCAAATGCTGCCACTGGTTCTTTGCTGTACTTTGAGTCTTATTTTGAAGCGTTTAAGTACTTGAGTTTGTTCGTCTCAGACATCATTTATTTTTTATTTATTTTTAAGTCCTCTTTTTTTTTTTTTTTTTTTGTTTCCCCGAAAAACCTCTAGTTTTGTATCTTTCCCCCGAGACGGACCTAAACGAATGGTTTACTCCCGCGACGGTATCCTGTCGAACAACTCGACCACCGCGGTAACTTGGAAGCACTCGAGCGTCTTTATAAGCAGTTCTCACTGATCATATTGCATCTGTCTGCCGACCGGTGGCCTGTTTAGTTTTTGCCGCTGAACTTGGAGCTGGTTTCTTAAGCGCGTGAGCCGTGTTGCTGTGGACATCCACCCCCTTCTCCCTCTCTCTCTCCCCTCAGCTTTGTGTCGTAGCTGCCATGCTGCTATTTGCTAAGAGTAACAGCCGAAGGGATTTCTTCATTTTATGTGTGTTTGTTATTATCTTAATGTTTTTCTGTTCTCACCCCTTCCCGCTGCTCTCCAGCTGTCACAAACACGATGGACCACAGCAGATGTTATTTACTTATGCGTATTGGGCTCATGGCTCTTCGTCTCTGTCTCATGTATAAAGTTATTCATCGCTGCGATAACGCAAAATGACGCTTTATGTATTCTGTAGTTATGAATTAGTAAAATTCTATTTTGAAAAATAAGATACTTTTGAAAAAAATAAAATATAAGTCAGCGTGATGCAACAAAGGCGTTTATGTATAAAAGTATCATGTAATGGCTGATAATTTACCTGATTTAAATGTGGTTAAAAAAAGAAGTTTGAGTTTAAACAGAACTTTTGCCTCAGTGATTCAACACTGAATGTTGAGGCAGACGGGTCGAGTCCAACCGATCTGATCCTCTGATCAGCTACAACACCACCCGTGTTTCTACATGTATCGGTTCCTCTGACCGTCAGATTGACTGTAAACACGACAAATAAACCAACGTTGTTGCATCCTAATGTTGCCTGTGTCTACGTTTCCTTTACCTGCGGCTGCAAACCAGCTTCCAATTAAAGACATGGAGATATTTCTTGTTTTGTTTAACCCTTCTAACCGCAGGTGTTTTTCCAATCGATCATATCAGGGATATGGTGGTTTTTCTTTTTTTTATTGTATGAAAAGTAAACTTTATATGACTTTGACGTCGCAATGGCCAACATATTTTAATATAACATTGGAACCTGTTTGACTGTAGGTAGATGGTATCATTTAATCTCAATGTTGGTTAAAATCCATTAATATTGGTATTACTATATATTTTGTTGTAATTTTTAATATATTTGAAAGATTACTTTTATATTTCTTAATGTCTTGCAAAAGTATACTGAATTGGCTAAAAATGTGTATACAAGCAATATATTTTCTGTGTGGAGGAGGAATTTGCTGCTTTACCCAAGTAAACGCAATGCTACAACCTTTAAAAATAACCATTTAAAAATATTCTGAGATGCTCGTCTGTGTGTTAATATCCAAATGTACGAGTCAATACAGCTGTCAAAAACACGTAGAGGAGTAAAATCAGGAACGTTTATTAGGCAGGTATGTTGGACATACAAGGAAATTGTCATGTTGGATGGTGCATACATGGAACAAAGAATAATAATAACCAAACAACTAAATATAAAAGGATATAAAATACCCCAAAAAGAAAGTGCACAGGCAAACAGACAGCAATACGATTAAAAGTGAGTCGGTCGGTCAGTCAGGGGCTCTGTTGATGAGCCCGACTGCGGTCTTGGTCCTCGTGGACCTCAGCCTCCAGCCAGATGGAAGGGACACTAACCTTTTGTTGAAGGACACAACTCCAAATCAACCGTCAACCATATTCGGGGCAGCCGGCGGAATGGGACAGCGGAGTCGCCAAATCGCCTTGCGCGTTTCCACCGAGCGGTACGGTACGGTACGGGTCGGGTCGGTACCCTTTTATTTGTGTCTCCACTGCCAAAAGTTGAGAATGGTACCAAAAATCCCTTCCGTTGGGGTACCTGGTACAGTTGTTTGGTACTAAAGGGTGGAGCTAGACTCACTGCAGAGCGTTGATTGGTTGAGAGTGTCGTCATTTGCGCGTGCCGCAAGGGGAAAGACAACACACTTGCAGCACGTAGCCTTTGCTGCATGCTTCCTGGAATACACCACGCTGGACACGCTCGCCAAATCATGGTTAACAGACCCGACCCGTACCGTACCGTACCGCTCGGTGGAAACGCGCCATGATGAGCGTCCTCGGGAGGATGCAGCACCTGGATTGGGACGTGGCCGGCGTCTCATTTCGTCGGCTGTATACTCCAGAGGCTGCTCATCGTTGGCCGACCGATTGCGCTGCTCACGGCAGCTCGTCTGCCCGCACCCGACCTTAGTTTGTGAAGGAGCCTTGTGAAGTAACTTTTAATGCATTCAATGTCAAACTGGTCGACAGAAATATATCAATGGGACCTCAAGAAGACAAATTACCTAAAACCTAAAATAAAACTTTCTAAGTCCAGTAATGTTACACACGTGAGAATTAATGCACAAAGAAACTAAACGTGGTTGCTTTGCTCCTTTTATTTTTGAGGTGTGATTAGGAACTGTGTGTAAAAATGAACTGTATGTGCATTCTATGGAGAGCAGAGTCCATTCTGTGTATGTGCAATCAGCTGATTCTGACGCTCGGTTCAGCCGTTGCGGGTCGTCGAAGGACGCAGCCCACGTCGACCCGAAGGATACGTCCTCTGAAGGACGCAGCCACTGAAATGAGACACTAGCACGCGCAGCGGAAGCAGACGTGAGGAAGGAGATGACGTCGCTGTTTACTGCGCTCAGTTGTTTTCCGGTCGCTAGCTGGAAGTGAGCGACAGAATCTACATTTCACGCAATCGGCCGCGCGGTCGTTGCATTGCGATGGACGCTCACGGGAACGAGCACGAGTCCATCGACTACTCCGTGCACGAGGCCTGGAACGAGGCGACCAACGTCTACCTGCTGGTGATCCTGGTCAGCTTCGGCCTGCTGATGTACGCCAGAAAGTAAGCAGCCCGTGTTACGGCGGCAGCAGTTTATAAGAAGGATCCTCCCTTCAAGTCATCTCTCAAAATATAAAAATTCAAGCCAGATTCCATTGAAAATGTTCGTTTAGTTGGTTGCAATTCTGCATTCATGTAACCCCTCAAATTGCGGTGCTTGGAACACATTTTAATTTGAAATATTTGCTTGAGTCGTCAGAAATGAGCTTTGATATTCCCTCTGTGTTTCTCTCTCGCTGAAACCCTTCCTGTGTTCCCCAACTCTCTAGAAACAAGAGGAAGATCATGCGCATCTTCACTCTGCCGCCCACAGCTGGCAGCAGCCCGGAGCCCAACTTCTACGACAGCCTGCAGAAGGTCCGCCTGAGGCAGCAGCTGGAGATGTACTCTCTGGGTGAGCGCCATGGAGCTGCACAGCATCTGGGCTCCTCATTTCTAAATGTCCTTTTCACCTTGTCCCCAGAGGAAAAAAAATATGATTATTAAATGTTCCACAGATTAGTTTTTGGCTAAACACCAGGAGGTGTTCTCAAGTAAAACCCAATGACGGACGATGTAGTTTATGAATGTGCTCCTGTCTTGTAGCCCGGAAGTTTGACCAGCAGCAGGGACAGACGGACAGTGTGCAGCTCTCCATGGAATGAGGCCGCAGAGGACCTCATCCGTCTCAGTCACAGGAAACACTCCCACGTCTCTGTCCTCTGTTGGTGGAAATGGAAGGACTTAAATGGCCGATCGGAGATGAAGCACGAGACGCTACGCTGAGAAAGGTCTCCTGTCCTCCTCTTGTGTGAAATTTATCCGACTGGATGAACGGACAGAGAAGCAGTGCCACAGCGCAGAGACCAACATGGATTGACAAGTGATGAACTTACCGTCACAATTTAAAGATTTGTTTTGCACATTGAAATAGATCCTTCAGATTAAATAGGTTCTAGATGGTTTGTTTTTTACTTGTTAAATATGTCATATGTGTGATGTGCAAGATCCTAAGATGTGAAAATAAAGATACTTCAACCATGAATGTCTTAGTCAGATACGCATTATACATATTTAGGTTTGTATACTTTTTCACCCTTTCAGTAAACTGCTGTTTCTAAAGCATAATGTCCATTAATGACAAACAGCGTGTCAGGCTTTCAACAGATGACCAACAATCGATACAGTAAAACACGCGTCTCCTCTTCTAACACAGAGCGCTTTAATAAGAATTAAAACTAGCATGCTCGGTATTTGCTGTAAAATTGTGTTTCTTCGTGCAGAAAACGCATATTATTTACAAGCATTACAGAACGCCGTAGCGTGTGGTTTTACGACATAAACAGCTGATAGCTTCAGCAGTGCAAACATGAACCTCTTTGGAAGCGTTTCATCTCCAGCGTGAAATCATGGCACATACGTGTTTAACAGAAAATATACAGAATGTCCCAGAGGTAAAGGGTTACAAAGCAATCTCCCTCTAAATAAAACCGTATAAAAAAATAACATTTTGGAGCTAAATATACACTCAGCGGCACTTCATCGGGTCCACCTTGCTAGTAAAAGGTTGCAGCCATGTGACAGCAGGTTGCGTTAACAAGCAACTGAACATGTTTACCTAATAAAGCAGCGGGTCAGTGTAGATTTCAAAAAACATTTTATACAAAAAAGGCATCTGGCCGTGAAACAGCCATAAAATAAAAGATTGCTTATACAGCTAGCGGATTCTACAGAAGCCGAAAAAAAGTTCAAGTAGCAGCAGCAGGCAGGGAGCTCATCTAGAAGGCAAATGTGCTTTATTCAGAGCGGGGACAGACGTCCACGTCGTCCACAGAGAGACCGCTGGCGTACTCAGACTTCCAGTCTCTGAGGAAGAGCTCCTCCGCTTGGCTCTGCAGGGTCTCTTGGCCTTCTTCAACCACAGAGCCGGTCTGGTTCACCACCACGCTCACCCCGGCGGTCTTGGAGAAGTAGTTCTCCGACCAGTTGGACGTCCCTGTGAACATGGGCACACCGTCAGATGGGACTGACAGAACGCGCCATGGAGAATTATCCTCGTATGGATTAATTAAAAGGAAAATGTGAGGCAAGTTGATCTACAACCGGGTGGAAATGGGTCCGAAAACTGGACCCGATTCCAGACTTGGATTAAGTTTGAGGTTTTTCTTCTCTGAGCAAAGCATCACAGTCTAAAGGCAAATTGCATGAATTATTATACACAAAATATATTACTATACTACTATATTTCCCTCTGGAAGGTATATCTTTAGTAAATAGTAAATAATAATCTAATTTCAGTTATGTTTAACTTGGACCGGGAAGCCTCTTTTCACTTGTTTTTGTAACCAGATAATACGAGTCTCTAATCTTTATGGATGGACCCGTCCTTCACCCCTCTGCGTGTCAATGTGACTGTTAAAACCACAAGGCAGAGTTGGAGAGAGAAGTGCCAGTGGTCAGGGTCCACTGTGCCGGGAGCACATAAACTCATCTTATGGTTACTACGGTCCTCAATGTAATGGCTGGGTATTTGTATCATTCCCACAATGTGGACGAGGCCACAGATTTGTCCCCATGATCTTGTCTCACCCCAACGATAACAATGGGAGCCCGTCACAGTGGATCACGTTTTGTTTGCGAGGTCAGTAGGTGGTACTAGCATACCTATGTAGACCACTCTGTCCGTGACCATGTACTTGGCGTGATTGACTCGGGCAAAGGGAATCCTCATCTGCTCTGCTGTCGAGGCCACTGTGAACACTTTCTGCACGGAAAAAACAAATCAAATCAGTTTAGGATCCATCAGCATTTAGTTCAAGGCGCTTTGTCAGAGTCTCCCAACGCACCACTTGAATGTCACATTTCAGCGGAGGCCGGTTGAGTGCCAGCAGGGACTGCAGGAAGGGGAACATGGAGGCCGGGGAGTGCTTCCAGCAGCTGACCAGGAGGCGGACCTGTACGTCTCTGGTGCAGGCGGCGGCGCGCAGGACCGAGTCGATGGCCGGCCAGAACCTGAGAGCGCAAGAGAAACGCACCGGCTCAGAGCTTCTACAAGAGGGGCCCCTGTCAGATCATCTTTGGCGTTGGAATGAATGCAGCCAATTGGAGAAGGGAAATAATTGACTCTGTGTTAAAACATTGTGTCGGTCTGTGTCTAACAGCGTGACGCCGAGCGGCTCGTCACCTGAGTGGCTCCGTGTACTGAGACAGAGGCAGGTAGTCCATGACGGAGATGTGAACAAATCTGTGGGCGTCGTCGATGACGGACAGGATGGTGGAGAGGTCGTCGGAGCGGCCGCGGGCGGAGATCTGGGGAGGCGCACTCTGCAGGACATAGACGCAACAGTAAGGGAACACGGGACCGACCAGAGAGGACATGCTGTCTTAGCATATAGATTTGGAGATATTTGGATGCATTGTGTATAAAAATATCTGCATCACGCATAGAAAAAAAGCCTTCCTGTTGGAGGAAGCGCGCAGAGCAGACCGCTACTTACAGACAGGTAGACCTGAGCAGGCACTCCGTTGAACTTCAGGCGCAGGGGATTCTGGGAGCTGGACAGGGCGGAGAGACGAGCAGGCCAGTACGGCGGCAGGGAGCCGTTGCTCGGACCGCCGATGCTCCAGTACACCCCAAAGATCCGAGTGGCGTCCTGAGCCAGGCAGCTGCAGTCCTCCACCGACAGGCCGACCTCCTTCACCTCGATTCAACACGGCACACAGGACACGTTAGCTCCACCGCCGCTGGGACAGATGTGTCACATCCAGAGCGGACATTTGTCTGAAGGAGCGCTACGAGTTGGTCCACACAGCATCTACTGCTAGATCTACCTGACTTAGCGAGCGCCAGTCCATGTTGGCACTACCCAGGTAGAAGTGCTTTTGATCCACCACCCACAGCTTGGTGTGCACGATGCCTCCAGTTACGGCCCTGAGGTCGACCTCTCGGACTTCAGCACCTGAGAGTACAATAAAAACACACATATGAGCAGGAAGGACTGCAGAGAATGAGTTGATGAATTGAACATTCTAAACTATATTACACCAGACTCAAATTCAGGAACAAATTTAAATGTAGGGTAGTTTTTTAATGCTGATCTAGATCAAATTGAAGCATTAGCTAGACATATTGCTTCATTTGTACCATGTTTAGCCAGCCTGCTAACAATATTATCTTCTGTTAAGGAATACAGAGCAGAAGTTAGATTTACTAATCAAGATTAACAGAGCTCTGCAAGTTTTGCTAAACTCTGATTAGAACTAATCTCAGGTGGACTGAATAGGCGTTGGTGAAACCCTCTGTGTGTTTTAATATACACACGATGTGGCCTAGTCCGGTTTCATCTGGTGGTACCTGCTGCAGCCAGCTCCGCCGTATCTTCAGCTGAGGTCTGCGGGGCGTTGACGGCGATCCGGAGTTGCACACCTTTGGATTTCAGCCGTTTCAGATGCTCAAACACCAGTCTTCCCTTCAAAGGTGTAGAAGCGTTAACACACATTAGCGGGTCACACGATTACTGCATCGCAGCGCGCCACAGAGCTGACCTGAGACTCAGACGGGTCCCGCAGAGTGAAGTAGAAAGCGGCGATGTGCACTGAGCTGTTGGCCTTTTCCAGCAGACGTAGCCAGCTGTCTGCGATGGTCCCCCTGGACAACGGAGTGGAGGGGTAGAGACCCACGGGGATGCTCTCCACCAGCCGCACTCTGAGCAAGCAAAAGGGATGAGGGGGGGGCACACCAGAGCTTGTTACGCCATTTTGATAAAACACTTTCAATAACTACATTCAAGAGTGAATACCGCTTGTCTCTGGCTTTTTATGTTCCATCTTTCACACGCCAGGCTGAACTCACATCATTGTTTACCTTTTACATCCCACTGGTTGCCCCGTGTGATGTCACATTGCAATGACTTGTGAGTAATTGTCTTTGAGTCTTTTGTCACCTCCAACGGCTCACGAGCAGAAACAGGCTTACCGACAGTCGGTGCTGCAGGGCTCCCGTACCGAGCCGAAGCCCTCCAGCCAGTGCAGTTCCAGCTGAGCTGCGAGCTGTTCCACGGAGAGGGGAAGGCCATAGTGCCAAACGTGCTGTCCCAACCCCCCCAGGAGCAGCACGGTGGTGGACAGGAAGCAGAAGAGGGCGAAACTGAAGCCTCCCGAGCTCTGCGGAAACAAGACCAGCTCAGTCAGTAAGTAAGTAAGTAAGTCCAGTTACTCTGGAAGATCCCAGCTTCCACCAGAGACCGCAGAGGAGCGACTTGCACTCCAAAGCGCTCACAATCCTTTTTGCCTGGCTGTCAAACTCCAGCAGACCACCGGGACAACAGCGGGAGGCAGTAAGCTCAACTCACCTCAGCTGATCTAGTTGACTGAGCCTTGGCGGGCTTCTCTGGCGCCACAGGGGAGCTGAAGTTGCCGGCTTTGGCTCGTTCCTCTGCAGGACCTGAAAGCTGTGGCGGCTTTGTTATGAGCGGTTTGCTACGGCCCTTCACTGAATGGTGGCCCTCAGCCTTCTCATCCTCAAACTCATGGTCACATTCATTGTCTGAAGAGGACCTACTATCCTTAGATCCAAACGCGTGCATCGCGTCAGTCTCCCACGGCGGCTGTTCGTCCGTAATGGCCTCCTCTCTGCTGTCATTAGCCGTGTGAAGGAGGTCCTCAGGCGCTGACCTGTCCGTATCTCCAGAGGCAGTGTGGGTCAGGCTGCTTCTGCCCACGACTGCGTCCTCCTCTTTTGGGTCCTCTGGTGGCTTTTGGCCGACGGGGCCGTCGGCTTCTGTTTGAAACGCTCCGAGCTGGCTCCGCCCTGAGACACGTGGCTCCGCCCCTCCCTGCGGTCTGATGGCAGGACGGGGGCTCACAGCCAATGAAGGGCACTCCATGGGCTCGGACAAACCCCACCTCTTGGGTGCTGAAACCAGGGGACCGGGTGATGCTGCTGCAGCGGCCAGGTCCGGTCTGCCGGACGAAAAGGGCGCCTCCAGGCCAACATCTAGGACGCTGACCGCCGGCAGGGGGGGTGCCCACGCTGTGACGTCGGACGGCTTGGAATTCGAGGCCTGCGCACTCCCACCTGTGACTTTCCCCGAAGGCGGAGCTCCAGGGCCGGAGGGGTCTTTCCTGGCGGCAGGCGGCTCTGGGGTCGGGGCGGCATTGGCCGGCCGTTTGTGGAAAGTGGGGATCCGGGAGACGAGTTTCCCGCCTTTGCGGTTCATGTCTTCTTTCTCCTCGAGCTCTGTTCCCGCCGCCTTGTTGTCCACCTGCAGGCGGTCCAGCACAACGCTGCAATACTTCAGCTCCTGAGGACACAACGCTTCATGAGAAGAACAAACAAACATGCCAAACATGACACACAAACCAGTGGCTCTAAAAAACTACATGACATTTACATTTGTTATTTAGCTGACCCTTTTAGCCAAAGCGACTTGCAACAAGTGCATTCAACCCAGAGGGAACTGAGCCAGAACAGAAGAGAGAAAGTACAATTTCTTCACAAAACCAAAATACAAAGTGCTAAACCAGGTATTGTTGGTAGAGGTGTGTTGACGACACTCGTAGCTGCACAGAACGCCTGAAGGAGAACTTTTTTTTTTTTAAAGCCAGTTGTAAAAAAGACATTTGTAAACTCATCGCAGTCTTTGTACGCATATTACCTGGAGAGGTTTCTGTAGCCAGAACTATTCAAATAAGCTCTCTCCGGGTGGCACACCTCAGCACGGCGGGCGCATGCTATTCAACATGCTGCCGTGAATACGACAGGAGTGTTACCGTGGATACGGCATTCTTCAACTTTAGGTTCTCGTGGCAGTTAGAGCTGGACTCTCAACTTTGTTTTGCTTCAAGCTTCATTTTCATCAAACTCCCCGTGGCGACATTGATTCTGTATTCCAGAGAAGAAAGACGGGATGGCTCAAGGCGTGGCCGCGCTACGGGTCACATTTCTGCAGCTGCAGTATTTGTTAGGAGACGTATTGTAGTGCTCCTGTTAACAATGACACATGACTCCCAAACAGTGTTTTTATTTCACATTGATGCCACTAAACATCTGCCACCATTTCTATTAAGTGAGCCCCCCCTCCAATGTTTTTAATTTGAACTCATCATGTTTTATATGGAGGACAGCCCCTGCTGTGAATAATTCACGGTGGATTCCATTGAGCTGCTTCAGTTACATGGCCGTTATTGTGCACGCTGGCTCTCTGTCCCACGTGAACAGAGCAGGGCCATCGTTAGTGTTATCAGTATCACCTGTGCAGGTGTCACAGGCCTGCTGCCTGAATAGAGCAGAGCCATCGTTATCAGTCGCACCTGTGCTTGTCACACAATGACCAGACCCTGTAGCTTGTCTCAAAGTCACTAGGCTGCATCCTTGTAGCCTCCAGGTCTACCTGGGCTGGTCCTCAAACAACCGCATAGGCCAGGGGTCTCAAACTTTTTTCAGATGCAGCCCACTTTGACAGGACGTGGGCCAGAAATGGGATGGTCTTGCCTACGAAGGGGGGGGGGGGGGAAACCTCTCATACAACTAAATGTAAAGTTTATTATCACACAACTAAACAAAAGGAGAAAAGCAAGTTCAGTTTCTTTGTGTATTCATTCTGTAACGTTACTGACTTAGAAAGTGAAAGCGATATTTCAGGTTCATAACTTGTCTACCTGCGGTCACTTTGATCCATTTCTGTTCATAATATGAAGTATAAACCACATATAAAAACAGTCTCTGCAAGACATTAGTCAGCTTCTAAACTGTGAAAGTTAAAGTGACTTTTCACTAATAAGTGCAGACGAGCTGTCGTTAACAACGCAGCGGCTCCCGGTAACGTGAGCTGCTCGTTGTGTAGTTGTTAGAAATGTGTGTTGGTACATTGATGTTCATAAGAACAGTACATGGACCCAGGAGTGGTTCAGGTAAGAGTCTGGGTCAGGGGCTGCATGCTGGGATATGCTGGGCTGCAAAGTATAGATCAGATGTGTCCTCCAAACGGGCTCCCGGAGGGCTGCGTCCCTCGACCGCGTTCGGAGGAGCCGACGGATTGGGACCGAGTCGCAAGCGCTGTGAAAACTGTACAGGCCCAACCAATGCAGGATTCTATGGCACCTTTCTTTTGGTAAAAGGACAGGTGACTGTGGTCCACACCGCAATGCAGTGGGTGACGGTAATACACGTGGCTGGATGCCATCCGTCATGAAACTTGGAAGATTTTCAAGGACAAATATCATCATCCAATGGTCTCCATTTTTTTTAAAGAAGTGTGCTCATTACGTGTAGCAAATTTGGGATTAATCTAACAATGTGGTTTAAAAAAATGTTACTTGAAACATTTACTGTAATGTTTTATATAAGTATCTGCCAGCCTATACACTGGTAACTATAATATCTGTGGCTATATGTTAATTAAAAGCTTGACTCAATGACAGCCAATATTGTTATTCTCAAGCCTTGTTTCTTGAATTGTAAATATTTCAAAGTCTATTTTCATCCCAGATTGATGTTCAAATGTTGCCGTTTTTTTCATTTTCGACAGTGAATCGCGAAGCTTAAAAAGAATCATTAAATTCAACGAGAGCGAGTAAAGCTCAACTCACCATGTGAGTGAGGTAAATGACTCTGTAAACACAGGGGGGTTAGGACCGTCCTGCTCCATCCTTGTCCCCACGTGTCTCCAAACAGCCCGGGAGACACATGTCTGTTTGTGTGAGGTGGGTTATGATCTTACCGTAACACCAGCCTCCTCGGCAGCGTCCTCCTCCGGATAAGCGGGGACACTCGGCTCGGTCTCCATCCCCGGTCCCCAGACCACCTCAGAGCCCGACTCATCAGACTCCTGACGGGACAAGATCGAGGGGGGGAGGGGGGGTGGCACATCGTCATAAAGCATCGGTTATATTCCACGATTCAAAGGCAAGTAGCATAATCTACAGAAAGTCAAAATGTTCCGTAATCTCCTTCACGTAACGTTAGTTAACGCGAAGAGAAGAAACGGCAACAACTTACCATGATGCAGCAGGACTGTGGGTAATAACGCCAGGCGGTTACTAACAGGTAATGGTTAACTATTAACGCGTATGCTAACCAGCTACGCAGATATGGCGTGACGTGGGAAGTTCGTTAACCGTAACTAGTAACGCTTTAAGGCCGTCGTGTGTTCTCCCTCTCTGCCCGTGAAGCTAACGTCGCCGCTGTTGACGTTAGCGAGCGAGCTACGTGGCTGAATGTGAAGTTTTTTTCCGCAGCGGGGGGAGGAAGAGGAGGCGGAAAAGGCGAGTAATACCACCACCCACCTCATACAGGGGCACCCCGTGCGGGCGGCTCGACTTTCTCCGCAAAGCTGGCGGCAACGCGTCCTGTAATTCGAGCTCGCTCGGCCACCCCGGGCCGACGGACCTTCTGGATCGCAGCCGCATCGGCATCTCGGACCGCGTTAACAATGCGGCCCCAGCGGCGGGCGGCGCACGAGGAGCAGCCTCGTTAATGAGCGGCGGCTAACGGCTGAACCTGAGCAGAAAAAAAAATTGCATTGAAAGTTTTCAGGAGTTGTTGGAAAAAAAAGTTATCATTGACTTAAACCACTCCCTGGAAAAATTTACTATAACGTTAATATAAACACGGCGTGCGTCTTGAGAGGACAACAAACACTTGAAGAAACCGCGATTTCCCGTCGGCTCTGATTGGCGGTTGGATTCAAAGCGGTGGCCCCGCCCCCTTTGACGCACGTAGCCCAGCAGACCCGGAAACAACAAACCGGGATTACCGTCGTCTCCTCCAGCTGCGTTCACCTCCACTAAGGTTTGTTGTTGTTGTTGTTGTTGTTGTTGTTGTTATTATTATAGGGTCACTGACAGTTTATACGTCTGGTGATCTTACTTGAGAAAGCAAAGCGTGGCCGACTCGCGGCTGGGAATCGTTAACGACGTCGGTTTCAGTTAGCTGATCCGCGCATCGAGCTGTCCGAACGGAACCCCGTTGTTTGTTCCAAAGACCAACGTAAAGACGCGCAGAGAGCGAGCTGGGAGACTGCTTCTCAAAGTCACCGAACAGCCCCCAGGACAAGAACCATGTACGATGTAATGTCCCGCGAGCACCACACTGAAGTATGAAATGTTGATGTCTAGAATGAAAGAGAAACGTCGAGCTGTTGTGATCCGTAGAAGCTCCCGTGTCGCTGTCGCCTCAGCCTGTTGGGTCAGATATGTTTATATAGATATAGGTATGTGATTTAACTTATACGGTCACCGTCTTGATTACATATATGCAGAGGTTGACACAACTGTATACCGTGGTAATGACGTCACGGGGATGCAACGTTGTCACTAATGTTGAAATCAGACTTCTGCTTAAACTGGTTGTGAAATACCAACAGCTGTTTGACTTATTATTAATATTATTATTACATTCTTATTTTTCTGGATTTGTTAAACCCAAACTATGACTTACGGGCCTTGTGAGTATTGCAGAATCTGTTATCTTATTATTTGACTTGATTACCATGTATTGATAAATTCATTGAAGTACTTTCTGTTTTTAAATGAGAAATATGAATGTCTTTCATTTGGCTAACCGAGCAAATTAAACCGTGGACTGATTGAAGATGCTTTATCCCAGTGATGTTAACATTTGAGGGAAAATCAATTCATAAGCCTTCATGGTGTTTATCGTCTCATCGTCCAAGTGTACAAGGGTTATGAAGGAATACATTCCTCCGCCACGTGGCCCCTCTCTTGCTCGTGACGTGCTGACCCCTGGTGTTCTTCTCTCAGGTCTCCCATGTGAACTGCTCGTGCTGAATGTGCGATGGTCTAGCAGTTGTTGTTTTTTTGGTGATGTGAGACAGTGAGTCAGTACTCCAATGGAAGCTCCTCCCAACCCGTCCTCCCAGCCAGTCCCGCTTCCCCTTGGTCCCGCCGTCACTCCGTCGGTCAAGCTCAGCTTCACCATCCTCTACACCACCCTGTACGCCACTCTGTTCCTGGTGGTGTACGCGCAGCTCTGGCTCCTCTACCTCTACAGACACAAGCGATGGAGCTACCAGAGCGTCTTCCTGTTCCTCTGCCTGCTCTGGGCGGCCATCCGCACCACCCTGTTCTCCTTCTACTTCTGCAACGCTCTGCAGGCCAACCACCTGCCTGCCGCCGCCTACTGGATGCTCTATTGCTTCCCCGTTTGTCTGCAGTTCTTCACTTTCAGCCTGATCAACCTGTATTTCACTCAGGTAAGGCCGGGGGTATTGTCTTCGCTTCCAGCTTCCTCCATCAATGTCCCGTGTGTGTATTTACTCCGTGGCTTATTTCTCTCTTGTACCCCAGGTGCTGCTCAAAGTGAGGGAGACGTACAGCTCAGACGTGGATAGAGGACTGTAAGTTTCATCCAACAGGAAAGGCGCCTTTTTTTGCCTTTAGAACAATGAGGCTCTCGTTCTGAGCCCCGATGCCCCGATGAGCACTAATCCCTCAGCCACTCTGCCCCCCTCCTCTCTCCTCCTCAGGTTGCTGGCGCGGTGCGTGTACGCCGCCCTGAGCGCCGTCTTCCTCTGTGTCAACGTGGCCTGCGCGGCCCTCAGTGACAGAGAAGGCGGCGGCGGGTCGGGGGGGCGGACCTGGAATCTGGTCCTGCTTCGAGTGCTGGTCAACGACTTGCTCTTCATCCTGGTCGCGGTGATGCTGGCCACCTTGCTGCTGCTGCTGACCAGACACTCGCGCTCCGCCAGCCCCTACCTGATGAGCAAGGTGTGAACGACGTCGGGCCCTTTGTTAAAAGAGGCGTAAATGAAAGATCAGCTGACCCGTAATGATGAGTCATACTCAGCCTTATCTCGTCTCTGGCTGCGCAGCCGCTATGTCGAGCCTCGGCAAGTGACCGCCATGACATCATCGGGGTCATAAAACGTGAGCCACTTGGCAGTACTTGCAATTGTACTCCGGGTTAACTGTGTGTCCCCCTCCTCCACCCACAGGGGACCACAGTGTGCCGCACAGCAACGCTGGGAGCCGCGGTGATCCTGTTGTTTGCCAGCCGAGCCTGCTACAACCTGACGGTGCTCTTTCTGTCCCTGAGCCGCCGAGTGGAGTCGTTCAACTTTGACTGGTACAACGTCTCCGACCAGGTGAGCGTCTGAGTCCAAAGCACAGTGAATGTTTCCAGTTGGCCGCAACGGATGTCAATATTTCCCTATCTCCAAAAAACCCACGATAAGCCGTGGCAAGTAAACATGCAAACACACTTCTAGAGACACGTGTGTGTGTGTGTGTGTGTGTGTAGGCCGACTTGCAAAGTGAACTGGGCGACCAGGGCTACCTGGCCTTTGGGGCCATCCTCTTCATATGGGAGCTGCTCCCCACCAGTCTGCTCATCCTCATCTTCAGAGTTCGCCGGCCGGCTCAAGAGGTAATCAGCAGAATAGAATTGAAAAAAAAAAAAAATGTCGAAAGTAAAGGGAAGTCCTTTTAAAGCGGCATGTTTGTGGTTGTTTTTTTCCACAGACCAGCAGCATGGCCGTCAACAACAGGGTCCTACCTCGTCCATATTTCTTTGATGACCCTCAAGGCAGCAACGAGGATGGACCTGTTCCGTGGGCGCGCAGTTCACAACCACACCCGAGGTACTGTCATCACAGGGGGGCCAAAAATCCATATCACGGTAATCAGATTCTGGCGGTATCGCCCGTATATGACGGTAAAGCTTTTACAAGTAAACCCATGATCTCATGGACCCCGAAAAGGCCCGCCGGCTATCCGAACAGCTGTTCACCTCCCGCCTGCCCTGCCGGCAAGTTAGCTTGTTAGCGTGTTAGCTTGTCGTGGCTGCTAGTGTTGCCACCAGCGGCTCGACGGACTTTGCAATAAATCATTTTTTGATCTAACGTAACTTACGTTGGATTTTCTAAAACCCAAAACTCCCCAAACAGAGTAATATCCACGTTTTATATTTCTTTAATGATTAAAGGTAGTTATTAAGAAAAACAATTGCAATCATTCCGGCTCCTGCTCCTCCAATACGATCCCTTGCAGTTCATTTTATGAAGGGCTGCAGTCATTTCAGTCGTGGATAAACCGGCAGATCATTTTCATACTCGGTTCGTCGTGATTTAAGAAAAAAGTGAAATATCTTGTTTTTGTGACAGGCAGTCAAACTCAAAGTTATTCACTTTTATGATGATGGGAAGGAACAAAACGCAACACATTGGAGCCCAACAGCTGTTGGGAATGCTTTGATCGAGGAGTGTTCTTCTTCTCCCCCTTTCAGCTGGTACGGATCGGAGTCCGCTCCTCTCCTGTTTGCCAGCAACCCTCCAGACCAAAGCCACCAGCACCACTCGTTCTACTCCACCCCCCAGAACTGACCTCCGCCTCCAGACACTGTCAGGGGTCGTCGCGCCCCCAACGACGTCCATCTCAAGGGTGGACCGCACACAGCTACTAGCGAGTAGCACCCCCCCCCCCCCTCTTTTTTTTGCACTGAAGACCTCAGGAATCGGCAAACAATGACTTTGCACCTTGTAGTTTTGAAACAGAATGTATAGAATGAAAAAAGTCTTATTTGCTCAAAGGAAGTGAACTCAGTGATGTTGATCATTGTGATCAGTGACTGCACACAAAGGCTAAAGTGAGATCACATGGTAGTGTTCATTTTAAAGAATTCATTGTCCTCTTGTTGAGCACCAAGGTGAACTGGCGTCCACTGTTCCATAAATATTAAGCACATTTAGCTTCGTAAGCGTTCCTCATCAAATGAAGAGAGGCGCTCTCAGGAGAGCGCTGAGTCGACCGACTGGCTGTCACCCAACCAGCGGGCCACGTAGCAAAAGGGGGATTTGAGAGTGTGAGTCACCGCAAACCGCGAGAGCTCCTTGAGGGTGCAGCCATCACTGACCGCCCAAAACGTGACGCAGTTTGCTGCAGCCGAATGATGAGACTCAGAGGTGCACACTCACTCACTGACCCACACAACTGATTGCTTGATTCTCCCGGCGGAGGTCATTAATGCACATAATGAAGTTCATGAGCCCTGGAAACAAGTAGCGGCCGTACGCGTTTTGGGGTTTTGTGAAGGAAGGGACGCGCCTCTTAAGGCGTGTGAAGCGTATGTAGTAATGTCCTTTGTTAAATGATTCCACATCAGGAGCTTGTGTGTCTTCCTTCGACATATTCTGCAGGTATTTGTCTGGCCGAGTTGTTTCCTGTAGGGCCGCTGTTGGTTATTTAGTTTTATATGTCACTTTGCAAAACGTTTAATCATCTTTATTTAAAAAAAATGCTTTTGACTTATTCCCTTCCCTGGAAATTTTACTTTAACTTATTTTATAACTTTTACCATTTAATTGTAGCAAATAGATCCTTTGTCTTTGTATTGGAATGAGGCTTCCTCACAGCACATACAGTATATTTCTATTTTATGTAAGCAAACCAATAAAAAAATATGAGCTTGTTTGTAAGAGACTTGTAGATGTTACCATCGCTCATACTGTTCAAGGCATCATTTTATTCATCAGTGAAGATCTTCTGGGTTACCCTTTATTTTACAGGTCTTACATTCCTAAATCATCTACGGCTGAACGTCATTTTGTATTAATTATGTGGAAAGGGATTTGTTTGGACAACGGAACATTATTTTAAAAGATTTGTAAAACACATACGAACAAAATCAGGTTTTCCAATAAATACAAAAATACACATCTACTAGTTAAAGCGTTACAATATCTGCTTTTACGTTTAGAACAGCAGATATAATCTGAGAAGGACTGGGTTGGTATTTGAGTTTAGCTTTTCTGGCAAGAGCACACAGCAATTTATTCCATAACATTTCTAGAAAATTACTGGATAAACTAATGTTTATGTACTAGATGTTTGTACATACAAATGAGTGACGGAGTTTTCATTTCTAAATGAATGGCAAAATTAAAAACTCTGCTGCAGAACCACTCACACACATCGTACATGTTGTGCCACAACCAATCAGTCAAACAGTTTATTCTGCATTATGTACAGATCATCCTATTAAAACTCTTTATACAGTATGTACACATTCAAATTCAGCGAAAGAGTGATGAACCTTAAAGAAAAAAAACGAAAAAAACGAACCAAAACCGCTGATCAACCTTTGTCCGTTTGAATTCTCTGGAGGTGACACAGATCCAGGTGCTGTGTGACATGTGAACGCGGCCACACGTTCTTCCCCGAGGAAACCCAATTAAAACAAAACTCAAAAAGTGTGGCAGTAAAACTAGCGTAACTGCACGCCGCCTCCACCACACTGACCAAATTGATGGGTTTGAAATCCCTCCGCCGCCTGAATAAACTGAACAAACACCTGCAGCACTCTTATTGCAGTAATCGTTCTGACGTGGAGGAGAAAGGTGGTGATAAAACTAAAAACAGGAGTCGTGCTATTGCTTTTCTGACACAGAAACGGTGCAGGGGGAGCGGTCCCGCGTCTCCCTGGCAGCCCAATTCCAACCCGGCGACAGCCTGGGGACCGAGGAGGAGGCGGCGACGAACCAAAGCAACGGTCTATTGGCTCAGAGTTTCTGCCGGTCCAGGGCGCCGCGTGTCACGAGTCGCAGTGCGACGGATCAGTTGTCGGGAGGCGGCGATGTCGACGTCTCCAGCTTTCGGAGGCGGCGGCGCCTCAGCTCGGCGGCGTTGGGCTCTCCGTCTTCTCCCCCCACCCCTCCTTCGTCCAGCTCTTCTTTTTGCTCCGTGTCCGAGGTGGTGGAAGTGGAGTCAGCTGGCTGAGGGGAGGCGGCCGCTCCGTCCACCTGCTCGCCTGAATAAAACAAATTTCATCAAGAACCACATTTTTGCTTTCATTTACTCAAATAACCTCGGTAGTTTGAGGTGAACCGGGAGTTTACTTACTGCTGGACGAGCTGGCAGACTCCTTCTCTTGGCCGAGACTTTCCGCACTGCTGCCGGCTGCGGAGGCGCCGTCGTTTGTCCTGCTCGCTGCTCCGGCACCGCCGTCAGCCCGCGGAGGACTGTGGAGGACAGCAAAGGCTCAATGACGCATTTCCCCCACACACGAAACTCCAAGTCTGCCGGCTTCAGTGATTTTAAGTGGTAAAACCCTGGTTACTTTTTCCCCGTTAAATATTTGACTCATATATTCAAACCCTCAATTCATAACACAGTTTGTAGGCCGGCTGCATGCGATGATTTAGTCACGCTGGAGGAGGCTCAGTTACGCGAGTGTGGTGACGGTGCTGAGGTAGTGGTGGATGTTGAGCATGGCGGCGTCCAGCAGGGTGTGAATGTTCTGGAGACACTGGAGTCGGGCCTCGAGGCCCCGCCGGCCCTCTGCCTCCAGCTCCCTCAGCTCCTCCTCGGACAGCCGCGACAGAGAGGGAGGGGGCGGCGGCATGGACGACACTGGAGGAGAGCAGGAGAGGCGTAAAAACACGGGACAAAAGTTAGAAAAGGACAACAACAAGTCGTGAGGAATGGAACATCAGCTCATGGCTGTTTGATGATAGACAACAGACTTTAAGCCATGGAACCAAAAATAATTGCCATACATGTCGTGGGAAATACCAGGGAGCCATCACACAGAGTGAGGGGAGAGCCCGTTGCTATGGTAACGCCAAGCACTTACTTAGAAGCGCAAACAAAGAAGTAAGACATTGTAAACACCTCAACGACCCATCCAGTCATTTCAATCTTCTAATTATTTCTATTCTAAGGAGCAACACGACAGCGGCGGAGAAAGAAGCGCGCTCCGTTAAGAGAACGCTCGACAATAAGAACGTCATGTAACCAAAGCGCACAAGTGCAAAAGGTGCTCACCGAAGGGAGGAGGGGGAGGCATCAGCCATGGTGCAGTGGGGAAGGGGGGAGGGGGGAAGGAGAAGGGGAAGCCAGGCATCGTTGAACCTGGAGGTGCGGCGTCTGCAGGCGACAAGGTGGCCTGGCTGGTGCCTGGCGAAAAAACAACAACAACAACAACAACGCAGTTATTATTATTTTATTTTTTTAACAGCTTCAGACACTTCACTTATTCTCGTACGGCCGTGGATTGTTAGCTCAAGTCGTCCTTACCGGCTGCCTGCGTGCTGCTCTGCGGCGCATCAGCGCCACCTGGAGCTGCTGCGGCAGGGGGGGGCGGCACCCCGGGGAAGGGACCCCAGAAGGGGAAGATGCCTGGCGGGAAGCCGGGTAACATGCCTGGGGCCACTGGAGAGGAAACGACACAAGGAGACCCCTCGGAATATGTCCCAATATGCCTTTACCAGAGGACGCTTCCAAATACATTTAGTCTGTTCTGTCTTCTTGGAATGTTGCTTAAATAGGAGACCCTGGAGGCCACAGGTCGCTGGTTTCTAAGAGAAGCAGACTTGATAAACAGGTAAATGTCCTCTCGGGTATCAGAACGTGCAGCATTGCGTAAGTGGCTGCAGTCCTAATCTGAGGCAGGAGGAAAGAGGCCCGTTCTGACTCTCACCGTTGGCGGGCGGGGCGGCTGGGGCGTTGGCGGGGGCCGCAGGAGCCGGGGCTTGGGCCGGGGCCGGGGCCGGCGCCTGATTGTTGTTGGACGCGCGGAGGACGTCCATGCGACAGGTCGGGCAAGTCTGCTGCCTCTGGAACCAGGAGCGCAGGCAGCTATGTGTGGGGAGGGGTCGGGGGGGGGCAACAAACAAGTCCCAGTCGAGGTCATTTGGCTTCAATGTGCAAAAGCTGGGTGCATTCCGTTACTGCAGATGCTGACCTGTGCCCGTGTTTGCACCTTTCCTGCTGACCCACAAGACTCACCTGGAGTGGAAAATGTGATTACAGGGCAGTTTCTTGGCCCCGGTGACCATTTCCTCTCGACAGATGATACAGACGTTGTCAGAAGCCTGCAGATCTTCAGGAGTAGCATCGGGGTATCTGAACGCAGGCACGTTTTAGTCACTATATATTTCTCACTGGCTAAAGATTCCTAGAGTCACTGAAAACCCAAGATCTTGCAGACAGAAAAAACTCACCAGCCACACTCTAGTTTGTGGGCTGTAGTCAAAGGAGAAAGTCAAGCGCCATCAAGAGATCAGCATCTTTACTCAGTCTTCAACCCTCCCCCTCCACGTTTAATAAAGCTTGGCTTAGCCTTTCATATTGTTAAGTTTGCTAAATGGCCCTTCAAGCAGTCGTATTCCTCCCACAACACTGTGGTACAATGCTGCTAAACAGCCACGTAACTCACAGAGTATTCATGTTGCGGATTGCTCTCCGGGACATTATGGCATCCGTTACAGCTTTCTTGAACTGCCTGAGGGGAGAAAAAAAGAACAGCAAAACTCAAATCACGTATCAAGTGAAAATTTTAAATTCTAAACTGATCGAAATGAGAACATTTATGATGAATGTAAAGCCTGGAAAAACTGCTTCAATGTTAAATAGCATCATTAAGATGATGAAAGCAACTAAAACACCACCAACCTCATGGCCAGATACATGGGCCGGATGGCAAACAGGGGGAAGGTGTGGACCTTTATCATGATGGTCATGAAGGCAATGTAGAGCAGCACTTTGATGAAACCTGGGATGAAAACAACAACTAAAGCGTCAGTATGGGCGCCAGCATTACAGCCACACCGTGTAGTGGAAGGGTTGGCTGCAGCAGCGCCGTACCTGTGAACAGCTCGGTGTAGAGCATGTACACCGCCTTGTTGTCCCAGGGGTTCTCGCTCTGCAGGTCGACGGTGTGCAGAATGTACTTAATGAAGGTCGTCAGCACCATCGTAATCAGGATGGCGTACTGAAACGCAAACGCCACTACATTTTGGACCAATTCCATCAATAGCAAGAGATGATGTTGCCTAACCATGTTGGGCGTTTTATTCTATTTGACTTTAAATGAACGGTGGGTTAAATAAGTCCACTCTGCTAACAAAAGGGTCACATATGTGACCAGCATTCTAAAATATTTAAGCAAGTGCTCAATTTGCACCCAAATGGGCCTTTTAGAGCAAATTATTGTTATTGATGCAATGACATGCAAGATGCATTTTAATGTTTGGGCTGACGGCCATATTTCCTATTCCATTTATTATGTGGCAACGCGGGAATCGATTACTCATCATGAATAAACGCAGTGAAGCAAAAAGTGCAAGGGCCAAACCTCAAATCCAAATACCAGCTGGACCGAGGCGCCTCGGATGATGATGCTGTGACAGGCGTGGTTGACAAACAGGAAGTCCAGCACAGCCAGCAGTCCCATGAGAGCTGCAGGAAATAAACAACACTCAGTGAGGTGTTGAGCTACAGGCAGACGCTCCATAGAAAACAATACCTTTGTTTTGGCAAAGAGTAAACTTCAATATTTATTAATAGGCCTGATTATGGAAATACAGCTAGAAATATGGACCCGAAACTGCTACGAGATTACTGAATTGATTTTGTAATAGTGATAAAAAAAATGGTGTTCTGGTCCGTTAATGTCGACCATTCTGGTGGTCTGTTACGGGCTCTCTTAAACTGGTGCACCTGGCCCCGTGTGCACAACCAAACTGGTTTGCATATAGTTTCACTAGGCCGAGGCGGGTTTCTGATGTAGAGAGAACAATGATGAAAGATTTCCCAAAAAAGAAAATGCCAACTCAGAAGAGGGCAGGCAGAATGATTTCTGATAACGTGTACTTACACAATACTCTGAAGTGAAAAATCCAAGATATGTTTGGACTCCGTTCCATCTGAAAGAAAAAAGGTAATTATTTACCAAAGGTACATAGTAGCTTGGGTGAATTTAGTCACTGAATCGTGGATTGTGATTCTGAGTGTTCTTCATATATGCGATTGCATGTTGACCTCTTTAACTGCATGCCGCCTCGCGCTCATCTGTCCCAGCGCGCCTTATTCTACCTTTAAATCAATGTTCCGTGTACGAATACAGCAGGTCAAGTAAACCGTGTGCTATGACAAAGTTAGTTTTCCTCTCCCTCGTCACTCACAAAGTCCACCCGGTCCTCAGCCAGCCAGTGAAAGCACTTGAGGAAGAGCAGGAGAGTGAAGAGGGCGACAAAGCGAGGGGAGAAGTCGTCCCTGAACACAGTGAAGGCCAGGCACGTCTCGGTCACAGCGTACCACGAGCGCTCGATGAGATGCTGGAGGCCGAAAAGGAAAGACGCAAACACAAGTAGGCCGATTAGATGCACCTCAGACCAGGTACTGCATATTGAACTGAATGTGCGGATTAGGAAACAGAAGAAAAAAAAATACAATCAAAACCACAAGTACCTCCATTTCTGCAGCCCGTAGCTGTCCAAAAAAGACCTTCCTCATGAACTTTCCCAGCAGGAACACCAACACAAAGGCCTGAATGTACAACACCTGACGGCAGGAAGGAAAAGCGGGTTTGTCACACGGCAATTGATGTGGAAAACATGGTTAAAACGCCGGATATAAGCCGCACCAAACCCTGCCCTTACCGCCATGCTGGGGCTGCTCTTGGTCAGGTAGACCACGGTGGGGTAGAACTGGTGTTTGAGGAGGTAGGCGTGCGCCACCACGGCCCCAGTCAGAGCCAGACTGGTGGCGGTCACCAAGGCTGCTCGCGCCATTTTGGACTCCGCTACAGATGCTGTGGTGGGGAAGAGAGGAAGACGGTTGCTGCAAGTGAAAGCTGCCGATCGTTGCGGAGCGGCATGCAAATGAAGTCGCTGCACTGTGCGGGTTCCTTTAGGACAGACATCAGTCAGGTATGTTGATTTTACTCCTGACTGATATGTAAAGGATTATCTACTAAAGCACATCTAAAAACAGAAAGCCTGTCAGTCATCCACAATAATGACAAACAAGTTATTTCTAATCCGCCCTGAGCTTAACAACTAATCATGTGGCTGCTTTTACAACAACTGTGTTGAAAGCATTAAAAGTGTTGACAGATCCTCAGGGGCATTTCCAGAAAATTAAGAAATAAATTTACACCAGACAGCATATTTATGAATAGAATTACCAGGGTTTCAGTTTCTGGTCAAAGTTGAGCATCACCAAATGTAACTTTTGGCTGAACAGACATTGTTAAGTCGCATTGTCTGCAGCATGTGGTTTTATTGTGTCAGGTAACTAGAATGTACCAAAGCTACGATGATGGGCTCCAGTGAGAGCGATGCCGTGATGTGCTGCTTAGTGTTTGAAGGTGCATATTTGCACGGTTTGTGTGCACAGTTTAGGATTTCCATCTGGTTTTAAATTAGCCAAATTATTCTCATGTGTTAACTGGTCCCCTTACAGGCGCCTTAAGGGCTGTTAGAACGGGAGGGGAAAGAACTGTCAATCTGCCACAGTGTCAATAATTATAACAAATAGGCCTTTTTCAGCAAAAATAGTGTTAACTGGTGAATGAAAGGCTACAATCAATACAACATTATATTACAATACACATCAGACAGCTGGAGGATTAGTTAAAGTGAAACTAACTTAATGCTGCATCAGCTTCATTTCCTCCCGCACAGATGCTAAGCGGTTAGCATCGCGTACACTCCCACTAATGGCAGCTATTGACCCCCCGCGCTGCACATCTCCCATTAAATACAACGTAGCCAACTAGCTTCTTTCCGCTTATTTTAAAGCAGCTTAACGCCCACCAGGTAACGTCACCTTGCTAGAATAGACGCGGCTCTCTTAGCGAACTGAGCCCGTTGACATTAACGCTAACGTGGCCAAATAAAGTCGTAAAAACCCGAACATAACTCGTGATACCAAGAAAGCGAGCGACGCAACGCCAGCTGAGCTAATAAGCTAGCTGCGTACTAGAGCGAATGCATACGTGTTTGTATTGGTGACGATCCTGCACTCCAGGGAGAGACAGGCAACTAATTACCTTTGGTTGGTTAGCTAGCGCCGGCTAACGTTAGCTAGCGTGCAGCTAACAGCTGTCAGGGCTCCGCGGGACTCACCGACTCGATGTCCGCGGAAGACTCGCTCGATGCTAAATGTGTCGGATGTCCTCTCGGCTGTTGAGATCTCTGGATTCTTCAAGGCTACTCCATTCCGACCGTTTCCCCGTAGCCCCTTTGTAACATGTATTATCCTCGCCCCTCACCGTCCGGCTACGTGTTTATCTTTGGCTTGCTCCTCGGGAGCCACATCACATCCGGCCGCTGCAGGTAATTTGACGCAAGAGGATTTTCAAGCGTCGGCGAAAGCTTACGCAACGTTACGCGGTGCAGAGAGGAGGAGAAAATGGCGTAAAATGGGGACTTGGTCGATGTTTGTGTTTAATGGCACGTGTCAAATTGTAATTTGTAAAGGTTAGGGGGGCCTCGGTCCCGCCTTTACGGAGCGTTACGGTAAATACCGACGTGGACCAATAGGAAGCCGCCGGGCTGGTGGTTCCGTTCTACATCACCGGGCTGGTGGCCGTTGTGCACAGAAATACCATATGCAAATAGGAGCACATATCCCTCTACAATTTATTTCGCTCTTCTAAAAAATGGTCAAAAATGGAGGTTAAGTTTGTACTTTTATCTCCAATGTTTAAATAGTTTCTAATCTACTTGTGTTAAGTTTGGTCTCTCCACTTCATTCTCGCTGCCAAATCAAACAGCTGAAGAGGATGTAAAGACTAATCAAATAGACAAGAGCAACCATTCTGCTTTGCATGATTTGAGTTTTCCATTTCAGCCAGTAAAAGGATTTATTTTCAGACAGACAGATTTCTCATAAAAAGACTACCACTCTGAGCTACGGGACAGTTTATTAATAATCTAAAACTTTAGAAGGGTGGCCTTTGTTCAGTTTACCAATATTAAGCACATATTAAGTTCACTTAATATGCTTAATATTTTGAATAGTTCAAAATATATTGTTGTTGCAACACAGCAAACAAGCAGAAGACCAATATTCAATGGAGAGAACTGGGTGGCAAGTGTTGTCAACATAGTAATTCAGAGTGATGATAGATGACATCAGTCACATGCTGGATCCATCCTGACGCCACACGTGTGTTTCCTTATTGCATCTTACTAAAATGGACAATAGACAAAGAATAAAAAACATTCATTGTTAACAAATAACCAGTTTATTTCATCGTGCTAATGAAGTCAATTACCTATTAACATAATGCCTTGGTACCCACATCAAAATTGTATATGCCAGCACAAAATCCATGAGTGCACAATATTGTTAATACAGTGAGTATGGAGAATAAAGTCACCCTTGCTTGAACCAGAGAGCTCAAACAAGAATCAATAGCGATATTCATTGTGTGATTATATGATGGCTGACTACTTCTGCTGCAGAGGATGTAGCATTCACAATGTGGTTAGCTTATGGCATGTTAAACGTATTCAGTGACTGATCTCCCATGTTAAAAAAAACCCCATCAGTTTGGCTTACATCATACAGAAAGCGTCTGCCGTTACTCAGCCTGATGGTGAACAAACTAGTGTCTTCTTTGTAAAAATCTGATGTTGAACAAAATGAGAAAAACAAAAAAAGTGTTCCATTTAGTCTGTCGGACACAGGGCAGAGTAGTGAGACATTTCTGCTGCATTTAAAAAAAAAAAAAAAAAAACTACACATACAGAGAAATACAATAAAAACATGATGCAAGAAAAAGAAAAAAATTGAACTAAATCAAGTGTGACAGCGGACCCCTGGATTGTCGGCGGGTCGTGGCTGTGTCGAGCAGGCTTGTGTCCGTGCCGTCGCCGCTCTTTCTCCGGGCTTCGCATGCAACAGCGCATTCGGTCTGTGTCTGTTGTGTTGAATATCCAGCCAGAGTTCAATACCCTTCCCAAAAGTTACGTGTAAACAGGTCAGCCATTAAGACCACGTTAAATTATCAATTGCTGAGGGAAAGGAGGGGAGGGGGGCAGGGGTGAGAAGTAAAAAATAAAATACAAAAAAAAGGGATCTCCGAAAAGCTCCTACAAGTCCATCATTAGGACACAGAGGAGATCGGGTTGAGGGGCGACCCCATCTGTGTGAGCACCTTGTCCAGCCACTGGAGGGGCCCGTGCAGGTGCACCTCGATCCAGCAGGGGGTGCTGGTGACGTCCTGTCGGTGATACTCTGCTCCCCAGCCCTGGGTGGAGGGCACAGACAACAGATCATGATAATGAATGATGCGTGTGCCTCTCGCTAGAAGAGCGCCTGTAAAACGCACGCGGCGAGGGGCCTCACCTTGACGAAGCTCATCCTGATAGTGCACATCTTGGTGAGCTCGTACACGGCCTCGAAGCCGTGGTTGACCGACTGGGCCAGCAGCTGGGCGAACTCCTGGTTGTTGAAGATCTTGAGGCTGCAGCCGCTGGGGATCTTGCACACGGTGGTCGGGTGGAAGCCGTGGTGGTAATTGCAGTTACGGCTCTGGACGAAAATGCTGGTGTCGCTGAGGCACTCGGCGTACACTTCCCCGCCCACGTAGTACAGGTGCACCCCTGGTGAATAGAGAGGGACAACCGACTGTCAGGACGTCCAGACAAAGAAAAGCTGCAGCCGTGCCGCAGACAAAACCGTCGAGTCGTACCTTTGCCGATGTGCCTGCGCGTGTTCTCAATAGTGGAGTTGCGGTTGACGTTTGACAGCAGCCCGAGGCAGAAGCGGTTCTTGTTGTTGGAGGGGTCAGTGAAGCCGTCCACCAACACGCTGGTCGACGAGGCGTGGTAGGCCTCGCCCACGCGGTTGTTGAGTTCGTAGTAGACGATGGAGCACCAGTGGCTCGGCTCCTCGTACTCCACTGGCTGCACGTCTGTGAAAATGTACAGCGGGTCAGAGGGGTGGGGGGAGTGGGGAGCACTGATGGCTAAGCTAGCTGCTATGCTACTTCCATCTCAACATCTAACATTACCCTGCGCGGCACAGACTGTTAGCCGAACAGAGTGGTTTGGACAACATCCTGGCTAAACGTGGGGAGATTGTTGGCACAAACACAGCCGTCAAATGACTGAGAGTTAATTCATTCATTAATTAAATTAATTCATTCATTCATTTTTTTCATCTATTGACAGCCCTAGAAAATATATATTCAAATTTGATCACAGCGAATATTACAGATTAGAGGCCCGATTGAGGACAAATTTTATATGTCAAAACAACAGCATACATGTCAGAACAGAGCAACATTTCTACATCGATTTATCGCAAAAAAAGAAAAAAAAAAGAAGCAAAAATCCAGTTAACATTGTGAAATACGGTGCCGTGTTGGACTAACCCAACTTTCAAGTTGCTACATCACCCAGTCGGAGTCAGTGGCTCCGCAACTTTATTGGTGGAAGACCACCAATTCTAATGGGGGGGGTTCTCCTCACCTCCTCTGGCCACGTTCGGAGGCACCAGGCTGCTGCTGGTTTCCATGGACTGGCTCTCCTGACCCAGCTGCTCGTCGGGGGGCATATAGGCTGGGGGTGGGGTGTCAGCTGAGACATTAAGAGGGTAGTTAGCACACACTAGTTGACACACACACACACGCAATTTGAGTCCATATTAAGTCACACAGAAAAAACACCCCATTAAACCATCATAGCAGTGAGAACCTTTTTTGATTACATTATGAATATTATCAAATGACGAGTAGGGCCTTTCAGCACAAATCCTAAATTGCCATGAAAAAATGTTTTCATGTCCAACAGCCTGCAGCCACTGGCTGCGGCATCAGATCAGCAAGATTTGAATGAATATAATGACTTGACCTGGTTAGAGTGTTATGAGCATCTCTATTGTGGATCCAGCATAGGTTTCAACTATTGCTCATTCTTATACTTGGGCTCTGTAAATGGTATGCATACTAAAAATGCATCAAACCAGATCTCTACACTCCATTCTCAAAAACATTTTTACACGACAACTTGAAAAAGTAAAAACCACCAAAGAGTGTCGTTGGCCACCATGACAACAAAGCTCCAGAACACCACAACCAGTCAGGTACACAGTGTACATTATACACAGGCGTGTTTGACCTACCTGGGAGCTGGAATGGACTGGAGGGCCCCGAGCTGGCGGGGGAGTTTGGATAAGTACCGCTGCTGGCTGGTGAAGAGGGATACGGAGAGTTTGGAGAGATGGGGAAAGAACCGCCTCCACCCCCTCCTCCGCTGCCACAATCACTGGGCGGCTGCTGGAAGGACTCTGGAAAGGTGGCGTTCAGGGGCATGTGCGGCTCGTTGTGGGTGAGGTTGCGGAACTGTACCAGCAAGCTATGCTGAGGGTTGAACTCGCTGTGCCGCGGTACCAGGACCGGAGGGAGCACTGGGTGGTGGGACGGGGGAGGAATTGAGAATTAGCACAAAACACACAGACCACAGTATTTAATCTTATATGATGTATGCGTGGCTCTTCTTGCTTCTTTCTGCATACTTTACACTAGTTTCGTCAATTTGGAAGCCATTTTTAAACAACAATCAGTTGCTGTTCTTTGTTTGGTTAAAAATAAGGGGAAAAAAAAAAAATCCCATTTAGTATCCAGGCCTATGTCTTGAAGCAGTTTAACCATTCAGGATTCCTCAAAAGCCGCTTTAGACCTTGGCTGAAAAATGGCCACATTGATCATCTGGGTTTTTCTTCTTTTTCAACTTTGCTAAGAGAATATTGAGTGTGTTTCCACTGCTTTGATCATCACCTCCAAAGAGACTTAAGGCATCAGGCCTACAAGGCTTAAATACCCAGCAAGCCTCGCTTATAATGATGAGACCAGCGGTCTCTCCTGACTGACACGCGATCCATATCCGGGATCTAATCTACGCCGACCTGGCCGTCCCCTTTGGGAGGTCTGAGTGTATGCGATGTGTTTGTGACAGCGGAGAGAGAAGGGGGCAGTGAAGAGAGGGTGCTGGGAGTTTAGTCGGAGTGCTTTATGCATTTAGTGCGCCACTCTCTGATGCCACACCCCATCTGGAGTGCATGGAAGCTCATAATCTAATAAGACTCACAAAGAGCAAACCATATTGATTTTCTGTGAAATGGATGAGGGGTGGAACAGGGCGCGCGTGACGACAGCCTCCTGACCTCTGTGGACTTGTTTACCAGCATTACAGTTTCCGCCGCTCGTCTTATCAGTTTTTTAACAACACATATTAATATCTGATCATGACTTGGCCGTATGGAACAACCATTTCCAAATGTGTTTGTAAATAACCTATCCGGAGACGATGATTCTCTAGGGAAAGCAACAGGCTCTTGTGGTAAAGAGTAACCTCCCAGTATAAAAGTCCCCAGAAAATCGGGCTGCCCCATGGGGAGAAGGTTTGTGGACCTACCAGGACTCTCCACTCGCTTGTAGTGGTATGGGTTGATGCAGACCTCCTTCTGCTTGGAGCCAAACGGGTACTCGCACACCTCCAGGGGCTTGAGCTCGTGGTGGGACTGGAGGTCCGGCCAGCGCCACACTCTGCAGTAGATGACGTGCGGAAGACCTTTCCTGTGAGAGACCTGCAGCCGGCCGTCCAGTGACCGTGGGATGGTTACGCACTTGCTGGGCTGCCCGGGGCAACTCAGGGCCTTCTCCAGGTCCTCCATGGCACCCTTCTTCTTCTTCAGCTTTTTCACCAGCGCGTCCACCGCCTTCTCAGCCCATTTCTCCTCCTCGTCTCCCTGCTTCCAGCCGAGCAGGCGTTTCACCGCTGGGCTCGTGAAGGAGAAGAGACTGGACATGGAGGTCATGCTAGATGCTGTAGTGGAGGTGAAAGGGAGGACCTGTGTAGTGGCGGGCCGCTACAGGGGGCGCAGGGTGGGGGGGGGGGTCAATTCACTGCTAGTAGTCTAAAGCAGTGTGGGAATGCGTGTGTCTGTGTGTGTAAAAAAAGATGAGGGGTGGGGTAAGGGAGAGGAGGCTTTAGCCTTGTCTGACCAAGGACAGGAAGCAGGGGAGGGAGGGGAGTCAGCAAGCAGGACGCAGCTGCTGCTGCTCAGGAAGGGCCCTGCAGCAAGCGGTCCAGAGCTGGGTCACCAGCACTGATGGAGGGAAGGGGGGCGGGGGTGTGGGCTGCCTGTGGGAACGGAGATCAGGACCTCTGTCGAAGTGACGCGCTGCAGCAGGTCTCACCGGTGCGATTCAACTGCTGCTCACCAACAACTCCCGGCTCCTCTCCGGATCGACTCCTCCGACCGGCGCACGCTCCGCGTTTCTAACGCCCCCGGCTTTCTGCCAGACAGAACACATGCGTGTCAGCAAAACACTCGCTTCTTTGGCAGTATGCATAATCGATGAACAAGCAAATATTCATAACATTTGTGACCAATTTAGAGTGCATTTTAAGGACGCCTCGTTCCGATTTGGATCGGACACTTCATTTCTCTGTGTTGCAGAAACTTTACTATCTGAAAGGTGCAGACAGTCGTACGTACGAAAAGGCAAACATGAGACACTGTTACAAAATTAAGCTGCTAGATGACTTTAAGTAGTCAGCAATATCAAATGCAGCCAGAATGTGGGAATGGATGCTTTTGAACACACATTTAGTAAAACCACGATATATTTGTGAATTACAAAAACATTGTCTCAAAAATATATTAAATGTTTGTAACATTGCATAAGGACTCAAATCCATATTTTTGCCAGCTATGTGTATATGCTAGTTAATTGTGATTATGTTGGGGGCAGTTGTTAGTTTCAAACTCCTTTTCCCTCCAAAATAGGCAAATAAATGAGAGCATCAATTGTCACATTACAAATCAAAGTCAAGCCGTATTAATTAAATGACAACTACAGTTGTGTGAAAAAAGGCGAACCAGACAGAAAAAATTCGACATGACTTCATCAATCATGTACAACCATGAGTCACATACTGAATCACCTCCTTTCAAAATGAACGCATTACTGCCTCAGGACGTCCAAGGATCCACTAATGCAGAGATACTGACCGTCTCACGACGCACAGCTACGCCAACAAAACACTGCGATATCCGACACGTCTGCTCACCACGCAGACAGTCCAACACATGCAGCCGGCAGCAGCTGTTTGGGGGCCTGTGAAACGGCCCTCAGTCAGAAAGGATGTGACCACAAGAGAGCGGCTTCCTCCCTCATCCCATCTCTGCCCCACCATCCCTCCCTTCCAGCGCGCAGCTGTCCGACAGCACTGCACCCACTTCCACTACTCATTGTTCTGCGCGCACATGAAAGCGCCAGGGGAAACATGTAGGCACAAACCAAAAAAAAAAACAGCCTGAAACTCTTCTTCTGACATTCAACAGACTTTGTTCCTCCCAGCTGTTTCCGCACAGCCGGATCAGTCAGGGATGTGGATGCAGCCTCGTTTAAACCGGATCAGCAGTGATTCATGGGCTCATTGAAAGAGAGTGAGCAAAAGCCAAATGACAGATTTCAATACGTTGACGTGTCCGGTCTTCTTGAAACGAGCAGAAACGAGCAGAGCGTTTGACGAACACGTTGGAGATGGAACTTGCTGGAATGGACACATCTGCATTTCAATGGACTCACCCTTGTGATAAAAGCTGATCGTCCCTAATAACCGACCACAGTTCACTGATAGCGCTTTGTGTTTATCAAAAGAGTGAAACACAAAGGGAAAACATGTTAGTGAAGAGGAGTCCCTGGTTAACTGATGGTTGCTTTTTTTAGAGATATATGAAATATGTGAATCCCTCTCAAGAATCCCTAAGCATATATGCGAGATGAAACGTTACAGCAAAGAGTAGGACCAAAATCTTGACTGTATTTTTTTTCAACTTTCCAGGCACACAATGGTTTGAACGTAGCAAAATATGGTAGATATGGGATCGGATATAATTGATAGTGAGAATCAATACGCATCTACAGCCCAGACATCTGGATACGGAACGGGAAAGGAGCCAACTGGAAGTGGTAAACAGAACGTTACATCGGGCCTGCGATAGTTTATCTCAGCCTGAGGGAAACTGATAATACTTAAAGATGACATTCTGTCCGTAACAAACTCTACAAAACTAACAGGGTCGGAAATGACTTTTCTTTACCGTGTGCAGGCTGTGTGAAGGGCTTGAGAAGTGAGCTCATGGAGAACAGGGAGCGGACTATTGGAGAGAGAAAGAGCTACAGAAAAGCAGATTTAACAGAAGCTCCGAGTTGATCTAACGGCGACACGAACATACGCCGTGATGATTCATCAAATAGGATTAGACGGGCAATTAGCTGAACCCGATACGCAGCGAGCTAACGAAGCCTCGAGAATGTGCTAACTAGTGTAGCTAACAGGACGCAACCTGTTTAGCTTAGCTTAAACTCACATTGACTAACTGGACGTTACGTCGGTTTAAAAGTAACGTTTCGGGACGTAGTTTAGTTTCTAAAATTATATTTTACGAGCCGTCGCATTCTACCTCTGAACGGAGAGCCAGCGTCACTTCACCCTTCCTCCTCTTCCTCCATTCCAGGAACTTTTTTTTAACTTCTCGCCACTGCGGCTAAGCTATGCTAGCTGTTAGCACAGCCGTCCGAGGGAAAGTAGAGTCCCTGCGCAGCCTGCTGATGAGCCCACCCGCGCTCACTTCCACGCTTACAACAAAACAATGAAGTATTCTCTTGACAACGTACCTCTTAGCACGCACGGGCCACGGCCGGCGGGTGTTCGCGTTGCTCTTATGCTGTAATTTCTACTCTTACAGATTTTCTTTCGTTTTCCACCGTTTCTTCCCTCCGCCTCCCCGTTCCATGTCCCTCAGAATCCTGGACACAAGTAGACTGGGGAGGCGCAGCGCGTATCCCTCCGCATCGCTGACAAACTAGTGCTCGCTTTGGCGTTACAACTGAGGGAAAATTCGGTTTCTCGTTGCCTAAAACGCACCAGCATAACAACCCGTACAACGGTTATATTTCGCTCCAACAAAAGCAGTCGATTCAATGGCGAACATGTCTGAACATCAACCCTCTTTCCTCCCGCAGCGATGAGGGAATGTTATGACAGTTATACACATTATTACGGTTATCGGCGGCAAACAATCACGCCGGCAGCCGCACCTAAAACAAATCTCACACGCGCGCTGGACTTTGGACACCGCTGCGATGTTTCCGCGTGTGGAGTCGCAGTTGTTGCGGCGGCGGCGGCGGCGGTGCTGCGGCTCGGGGGTCGCTGGCTCCACTCAGTCTGGAGCGCTGCGGCCGGTCGTCCTTCGTGCTCGCGCCTCCACCAGCCCGCCGCAGTGCCCGCGTTAATAACCCCGTTTCCCTTTGATCAAAGTATACTCACAATCACTGCTCCACGCGAGCCGCTACTTTCTGTCAGCTGGACGTCGGGAGCGCGGACTCTCCATTCAGCCGCTGGAGGAAGTGCGCGGTCGGGCCGCTAGAGGGCGCCGCGCACCCCGCTGCGCGCTGTTTAAAGGTGCACCAGCAGACGTCTCAGGTGATCGGCGGAGTTAATGTTTCAGTTGATTAGTAAGATTCACAAATGAACGATGCCCTTTCTGAGCCACTCTGACTTCCACCGGATTAGATCCAGCGTGCGTGACACAGTCCGATGACTTTAGATCACGTCACCATTTATTATGTCAATTCTTCTAGAAACGCCTACTCCAGATGTCACACGTGCAAGTTTGTTTTCGAAGGGTTCACCACAATCAAGAAAACCCCTGTGCTGTGTACGACAAGAAATACACAGTATTCCGAGGTATCATATAAATCATCAGAATATTGTTACAACTCCTCAAGGTGATGTATTGCCTACTACCCATTGTGTAGTTCTACAACATTATAATACTACATTTATTTGACAGTTAAATATTTCACACTCAGATTGCATATTTAGATTTCACTCACAAAATGAAATGAAATTCTACACCACATTATTCATAACACTGCTAAACAGGCTCTTCAGGCAATCTGAGTCTTTTTTTGATCTCGTCATTGTTTTGTTACTATGCCTCAATACAGTAAGCGCCTCTGAGATGTGTTCAAATATGAGGAGTAGAACTGATTGGCTATTTTTATGACACGAGGTTGTGATGACATCTACTCCCCAGTGCAGCCGCACTGCAGCTCACCATTCACACTGATTGGATTTGATATTGACAGAGAACAGCGCGCCGTGCTGCTGGACTCTTAAGTCTGGTCTCAAAAAACAAACAAAACAACCCCCGTGGTGTCAAGTAATCATGTATTTAATTAATTTATGTGCAAAAATCCACTACCATCTCCAACACAAATATGCAAAGACAACTTTTATTTACAGGGAAGTCCAAGCTGCAATGAATCATCTGTTGGTGCAAAGCTGATTGGAAAAAGGTTGCAGTTGTAGTTCTGTGAGTAGTGCCCACTCTCAAGGGACACATCACTGCTCACATCAGAGGCTTTTTTCTATTAGAGTAACTTGTCTGTTTACTGAATATTACCTGATACATTATTTTAATTCATTTAACAACTTAAGTAATCACATTCCGGATTTGTTCATGTGAAGAAATAAATACTTTGTAATAAACGCATCAGCATTCACATTCGGCAGTTGTCTCTGCTAAGCCATCGTCAAAGGGGTTTGATTAACACTTGATCAAACAGGTAGAAACTCAGTGATGGAATGCTGTTTTTCTATGTTTAACATCTGCTTAAGCTTCCAAAGATGATCCTTTGCTGTACGAGCTGTAACCTGTGAAAACCCTAAAGTTAGTCGGTTAATCTAATCTGACCTTTCCCTCACGCTAAACTGGTCGTGTACGCTTATTCTCGACATCATTGTACTTTCTTTAATTTAGATGAAAGCTATAAATGGCCCACTTTGGCCCCCCAAAGCCCCATTTCCAACATTACGGGGACAAATGGTTTGTTGGTTTGATAGAATTAAATTACAATAAAAGTTAACAGAAGCAACTTTAATTTAAAACAGATTAGTTGTACAGTAGAAAGATGCTTTGGTGGATGAGCTTAAAGTCTTTTAACCGCATTGATTCATTAAAAAAGAAAACCACAGTAGTGCCAAGTTCAACCACCATGAGATAGCCCCGCCTCCAATTTAGACCATGCCCACACCCTTCCTCCTTTTGTGTGGTTAAAGGTGCTGCTGTAACATAATATAATAATAGTTTGTTATCCTTCAAACTTGTATTTTAACTACACACCTTCTGCCGGTGTGAAAATAACAAAATCCACGTGAACAATCTATTTAATGTGATGAGGATTTTGTTACAGAAAGTCATTAAAAGTGAGTGCGTGCGATGCCCCGCCCATTTTTAAAGATTTCTAAGAAGTAATGCAAAGTTACATTCATTTACTATTTTTTTTTACAGAAAGTAAACCGTGATTAAAACAGAGATCATGTGACCACAACTAAAGCATAATATTGCAATGTGTTCATAACTAAACGATACACTCGGGTAATAAAAAGAATGTCTGCTGGGTCCCGTCTACACAGCTGTCAGATCAGCTTCCTCTTTTCGCTCACACGCACACATGGCTCACTTGAGTCAATGTCATTTAACACACACACACACGCACACACACCAATGCAATCAGTGAACTACTGTTAAGATTAACTCATGAATGATGATTCACACAAATCCCAACAGCGCTTCTTAAGATGAGCATGACTGATGGGTCTCTAGTTCACAGTGACTGCTTGTGAGTTCAGACCAGAATACATGCAAAACACCAGAATACCACCAACCAATCAGAGAGCAGTAGTGGTCAAATGAAGGGGTTTTTGTTTGAAGGAAAGATTGTTTTCTGTTATGTTCCACCTTTGTTGTATATCCTGCAATCACTGTGTATTTTTGAATAATTGACCAACATCACCAGTGTGATGATTTAGATGCTAGGATTTGTGACGCATGTACGTACATACTGAGGAAATGATCATAATCCAGTTTAATCCATCTTCTTAAATGAACACATTTTCCAGGTTGTAGTGGGATCAGTGGATATAAAAATTAACCCTCAGTATGTCAACATCATTATCATGAGCAACTAGAGCTTCTCAGTCTATGAAAAAAGGATATTTGCCCTAATATTCTTAGATAATTCTATGCAAACAATGTAGGCACCCATAGACAACCGCTGTCCTTAAAATGTTTGTGGTGTGCACTCTGTGGATGTCTTCGTACCCGGCAATGATGTTGCTGTTCTGTGCCGTTGATTTGAACATAAAAGGAAATGAAAGATCTTCTCAAACAAATCTAAGGGAAAAAGAAAGAAAATGGCAGTCTAAAAGCTCATTGTGTGTGTGCTTAATCGTATGTCTAACAGCTTGACATGGCGTTTTAAATGTACTTTAAAGTCCCACGTCGCTAAGATGACGGAGCGGGTGCGTCCTTGTCAGAATGCGTGCACGGACGCCTTGTTTGAGAATTCTGCTGCTAGACGGCATGCTGGCTGCTTTCAACCCAACAGCCAGGAAAGTTCTGAACATCAACAAATCCATGCTGAGGATGATTAGACATCTCCAACACAAGGGACCGAGGGAACTATCTTGGTTCCAGTGATTTGGTCTAATATTTAAACCCTTTATATGAAATTCGGTTTCTTTTTTAGACATCATGCAACAACTTGATTAAAACTGAAGGTTTAATCGACCGAGGACTTCTTCTGCAGTTTGGTGCAGCTGGATGACGTGTGGAACGCAGTCGGGTGGTAACTGATCTCTGTAGCTCACAACGCAGAAATGGTTTGCTATTAAGTCTAATGAAGGCACTGGGAAAAAACGAGTCTCTGATTAAAAACGGTACACCACATCCTACTGCAGTGTGGACACACGCAACCGTTCCCCCGCAGCATCCGTCTCAGATTACGGGAATATGAAGAGCATCTGCGTACGTTTCCTTTTCATGAGAAGGAAAAAAAAAAAGAAGCCTTGACGTCAAGACGACCCGACGAGCGCCTCCTGTGGGGCTGGACACTATCTGTCCCGGTCCGACACGAGGCCGCCGTCCGCGGTGTCCTCGGAGGGAGTGTCTAGGACCGGGTTGACGAACCCTTCAAACTCTGTGTCTGCATTGTCCTCCGAGTGGGTCCCCACGAAATCGTTCTCCCACTCCAGTGCGTTGGAGTCCTCCGAGGCCGAGGGCGGCCCGCTGCTGGCCTGCTTGCCGCCGGGCCTCAGGGCTGCGCGCAGGATGTCCTCCTCCGTCCGGGACCTCTCCCACACCGGGAGTCCCCGGTTGATTCCTGCAACGCAGGGACGCGAGCGGTTACAAGACCGCAGAGGTCTGAACGGGCTGCAGACGTAACAGCAACTGGGCCCAACCCAAGATTTAACACGGAACCCAACTTAGAAGCCATTTGTGTGTGCACATTTTTGTATAAGCTGAATAGGCACACACAGACACACACGCGTTACCTTTATAAAATCACATGAAACGAGTTTTGGTCCCAACTGACCAGCCTCCCCCTCCACTACAGTGGCACTAATAAGGACCGACTAGTCCGGCCACGAATGAGCAGTGATTTGCGACGGAGCCTAATAGAAGCCCTCACCCTCCTCGTCTTCCCACTCCAGATCCAGCGAGGTGCCGTCATCGTTGGTGGAGCGGGTCTTGGTGGTGAAGTCCCAGCTGCACTCTGTGTTGGGAGTCACCGCGTTGGTGTCGGACGGCAGTCCTGGTGGGAGAAGAGAGAGTGGATGAAGCGTTCCGTACGTTCACCTCCCACACAGCGCCAACGCGATGGAGGGCAGACGGCTCACTTACGGTTCCCCCTGAAGGCGTCCGACTGGGCTTTTACATTCTGGAGGTAGACGTCAAAATCCTCCCCGGAGTTTTGTCTGGAAAGGACAACGACGACGGTCACCATGACAACAATAAGACTGGTGATATCCCTCACTGGTAGCTGGGACTCAACGCCGCCCCTTCCGCGCTACGGTTCTACGATACAAGAGCTTCAAAACAGAAATACGGGAGATTCGATCTGAAATATATTAGCTAGATTAAATAGCTAATTTGCCAGATGCTGGTTTCCAAATGTGTCTATGCATCCAGCATTACGGTCGACTTGGCACAAATGCTGAAATGGTCCTCAGCGACACCGTTATCCTGTTGTCCGATGAACTCCAGTGACTCACTTTCTTCGCCGAGGGTCGCCGCCGGAGCCGTCTGCCTTCCCGCGGCTCCTCTGGCCAGGCAGCTGCAGACGAAAGAAAACAACGGCCCGCAGATCAATATCAAGACAAGTCCCGTTTTCCCCATGATGAAAATACAGACCAGATTAACAACCATTGTAAATAATATTTAGCAAAGTTGGTACCATTAAAGAAGCGTATGGGCTAATAATGTTCATAAAGCAAAGAGAAAACACCAGAGAAGCAGTGGAATGAGGCATGAAAGAAATCTCAATCCCAGCTGTGAAGTACAATTGTCATTATATGATGAAGGCTTTTCTCTGCAGCAGCCCGTTCCCTGAAACACCACAGGAAATATATATATAGCCACGATATTTGTCTCGTTGTAATGCTATTGTATTTTAATAGTGTACATTCCTCTTTTCATGATGTGGAGACTGTAAAAAGCACAGCCACAGTGATGGCAACGTTTGCTAATTTCAAGGCTTATTCTAATGAATACGGATCACCGTCTGTTAGCACACACTGCGTCTTATAAATCATCAGCTCAAGGGAGGATTGAGAATGCTAACAAGTCGTTTGTGAGTTAAATGAAGCACCGAGACAGACGACAGTTGAGCGAGGACTTGTTAGGAGGACAACAAGAAGACAGAGGAGAGGAAATGTCGAGGAGTTGAAAGGGGAGCCTTTCCACAGCGGCGGTTAAGAGGAGGAGGTGTTTAAGGCAAGCAGGAGGTCAGAACTGGCAGAAGGGAGCGCTCTGCGCCACCTCACCTCCTTCATTTTGCGTTCACGCGCCAACCTGGCGGCCTCGCGCTGGGCGGCATTTCTAGCCTCCTCTTCTAGCCTCAACTTCTCCTCTTGTGCCTCTAACTGAAGCAGAAATAAAAATAAAAAAATAAAGTACATAACGAAATGAAACACAGAAAATTACCATAACAGAAAAAACAATGCTGCAAATCAAAAATGTAAAAATCAAAATCAGGGAAAATAGGTTCTAAAAACATAAAAACCCCAACAGTGGCTGTTGATCTAACAAAGAGAGGCTGCGTCTTTACCTCCACTTGGAGCTTCTGGTCGATCAGGATCTGGTGGTCTGACAGCGCGGCGTAGCGGTGATCTTTGAGGTGCTTGATCTCATCTTCACTGATGGGCCTGGTCACAGGGCATCAAAACATAACGGAATGAAAAGGCTTCGTCGAGCAACACCAAATTATTTTCTCCAAAACTCCCCACCGGTCTCTTACCTCGGACAGGGCTGCGGACTCTCTGCCTGCAATCACAAACACAGCAATCAAGAGTCAAACTTTGGCACTACACCGTTCCACTGGGGCGCCGCGAGTCCGGGGACTCTGCTGACAGTAATCGAGTTACTCCGACGACGACGAGGCGCAGTAGCTGCGCCCGCCGCTTTCTATCCATCATTACAGCTAGCAGAGGCAAGCGGGACGGGAGAATGGGAGTTTAAGATGGATGGACGGACTACCAGCACCACGCAGCTTTACTCAGCCTGTAGCAACCGGGTCCTGGACAGCAGAACAGTAATGAGGGACAGCTCGAGAACCTATCGTCACACCGTCATCAGACTTACCTCATCGCTCTCAACGAGATTTTCAAACTGCGAGAAAAAAATTAATAAAAAGACGTAATTAGATATAGAACATAAAAGTGAATGGCCATTAATTGCGAACAGAAAACAATACGAGGGAATGTACGACGCGTACCTCTATTGTATAATGTTCTCCTGTGGTGCTGCTTCGGAAGTACTTTGAACTGTAGGGATAAGAAAGAAAGTATGAACACGATGGAAAGTGTAAACTAGCTGATGGTTGCGACATTAAATCAGAAAAGCTTCAAGTTAAATTATTATTACACCATAGAGACAATCACCGTCATCAGGATCAATAACGCCGGTCTCTTCCTTGAAGCTCAGGAGCTCCGGCACTTTATGTCAACGTAAGGATTTTCATGTTATTCTTTTAAACTAGATTGACGCGGACAATGCCAGACTATTTACAGATGCATCTGCACAGGGAATGAATACGTTTTCTCATCTGTACCGAGGTAAGAGGCGCAGGATAAACAGCCACGATGGAATGACCACGTGGGGACATCCGTCCTGAATAATGAGGTTTGGGGAGTTAGTTAGTAACGCAGCATGTGTAGCACAGCCCAATATGTATAAAAGCATCAATTAAAAAAAAAATGTTTGAAAGTACATTTGTTTCAAATCTAAAAATTATTTGACGAACCCTCAATGACAATTCTTGTGGTGTTGTGGTGGTTAATTGATTGGATAAATCCACAATGGTGGAATGCATTTATGAATTTTATATTTAGTATTTTGGGGAAAAAACAGCTGCTGAAAGGCAGATATTTGAAAATATGTATTAAGAATATGCGTAATTTGTATGCGGTACAGTTCTATGTGTCTCACCAAGTGATAACCAGCCGTAATTAACGGTATTGATCACACGTGTGTCAATGTGCTGGGACGCTACGGAGTGTCTGTAGGATGTGAGTTTATGGCTCTGACCTGGAGTTCAGATTGATTTCAGCTTTGAGACGCTCACCGCAGGTAAAATAATCTATAAAGGCTTATTTCTACATTGTGTGTGGCACAAATCATACGCGTCATCACTACAGTTACGGGTGATAGTCACTATCAGATTTTGGACATGGCCCACTGGCAGCAGGTCAAGTGCACGACTACTAAATGAAAACGGAGGTCTACAAAACAATAGCAACCTGCTAGTGGCGAACTTAATCACCAACGTGCTGCTTTACCTGCCGGCCTCAATGCGCAAACACACGCAAGTGACGCCGGAGTTTCACTCCGCTCGATGCTGGACGACGAAAAGCCTGCGGTCATCTTGGCAAAGTAAAAACTATTTACCCTCAATTTAATAACACGACGGCCGGCAGACACACGCTTCACACATTAAGACCCCGCGAAGTAAAAGTTATTATTAGTTTGTAATCATTGCGAAAGACTTTAATAGACTCCAGCTGCCTCTCATGCTAGTGGACGTCGCTCTTCGTTGCATGCCCCGGTGACAATCGGGGTGGGGTCCTTATGGCTGTCTGCGGGTCCGCCCGATCACAATGCTGTGACCAGCGGCGGGCTGCGGGGCCCGGGTCTCCGTGTGGCTCCAGCAGCACGCCGGGCTGTCATTACGCGTGTTAACGTTACTTAAGGGCAAGCCAACTTTCAGCTAAAGCTAGCAGGAACCGGACCCGCTGGTTGATGCTTCCATGCTAACGTTCGTTAGCTCGACTAGCTAGTGTTCCACTCACCCGCCTCCTCTCTGGATTCTGTTGGCTTCTCTCCTGAAGAGCCCGACACAATATCCCCAGCAGTTACCCATCGCATTGTCAAATACTAGTAGTGTGTAGCTGCCTAGCTAGTAAGATGCTGGTGACTCGGTGGAGGCAGCTAACTACATCTCCAAGTCCAGTCCAGTCCAGTCCTGCCACTTCCTCCTTCCTCTCCTGTTGATGACAGCGCACCACAGACATGTTCCACACCACCACCTGCTGTCCTTCTTTCACTTGGGATACATTTAGCAGAACCCAATGTATCAAATATATATGTAGTTGTACTATATATGTTCACCGTTCATTCGATATCAGTCATCAGATCCTTGATGTGTGTATTTATTGGATGGAATTAGGCCTCTAGACTATTTATAGAATCAACAACAGTTGTGTAGTAAGAAAACATGAATGTACTTGTGGTCATGACAACCTAAACGTTTAAAGTGCAGATGTTCAACAGTAATAAAAAACACTTGGTCCTACTGCTTTATTCTGATTTATTAGTTCTCTTGCATATGAATATTGTTGCTCTGGGTATTTTTGTAACCCTATGATGCTATTGTTATGCTCTGATGGGGGTGTAGCCAACCAGATCTATCCTATATGTGTATATATATATAATATATATATACAGTTGTATTTTTACTAGTCATCAGAGGTGAAGAGATAGGAATGCATCTCATCTTCAGCTGGGGTGTTGTCCACATTCCTGACTTTGACTTTCTGAGCAAATGGCTTGGATCTGGGCATAAGCTTTCTGCCACTCTGAAAAAGAACATGCCATTTCAATTCAATGGGTATTCAATGGTAAGTCTTGAACATGGTATTTCGTTAAAAGACATTGTAAAATAAATAAAAGTACATCATTTTGTATTTATGAGCTGTAATGTATTCCCATTATAAAGGACTTACTACTTTCTTGGAGTCAGCCGTAGATCTCTCCAAGTTCCTCTTCATCCTTTCCTTCTGCTTCTCTTCCTGCTCTCTCAGCTTCTCCTCGCGCTCCCTGCGACACAATGAGGTCATCAAGAAAATATTTATATTTTATCTTAAAACCTGGAAATAATATACTCAAGGGAAAAGCATGCAATGCTGTTATGCATTTGTCTATCAACTTAACTTTGTGAAGACACGAGAAAGACGTGACAGATACATACCTGCTCCTCTTCTCACTGTCCTTGATCTTCCTCATCTTCTCTAGGCTCTCCTTGTCCACGTTCTCGAGGTCCTGAAGCAGAGTCACAAGGCGTTTCTCGATGTTGGCGACCTTCTGCAAGGCGCTGAGGTTGCTAATCCTGTCACCCACGCAGCTGCGATGGACCTCCGCCACCTTCACGACCAAAGCGTCCCACATGACGTCCTGCGAGTTCAGAGGAGTACCGACGTCGCAGGGTGCCGTTGTTGCGAACAGGATCTCGCATTAAAATGTAGTCAAACACATTGTGCTTCCCGACCTGGTCTTCTTTCTTCAGCAACACATGGAGATCAACCAGCTGTTTGAGCTTGTTGCCTCTGGCCTTCTCTTCGTTGATCTTCGTGCTAATGTCTTCTATCTGCAGTGTTAAGTGCTTGTCCTCGTTTTCGCTTCAGAGAGAAGGGATTCAGGATTTGATGGATGCGGGGAAAGGGGTGGGAGTAAGAGAGAAAACAGAAAAGACAAGGGTCAAAATACTTCAGCTCTCAATACAACACAAGACACAACTTTAAGCAACACACCAGGCTAAATGATAGAAATGATTTGTTCCCAGAGGCTGCGGATGCTCACATCTCCTGCGTGGTTTCCTCCATGGTGTGCCGGAGACCCTTTGCTGTCTCTTCCACTCTTGCGGAGTTCTGGATCAGGGTCAAGTTCTTGCACGTCAGGTCTTCCACCAGATCCAGCAGCTGCTGGGGATCGGTGAAGTACATCTCCGGCTCATCCTTCACAGGCAAACAATGTTGGATAAGACGAACAAAATAAATACTACTAAATATGTCAGAGAAGTGGATTATGTTTTTGCAGGGGCGGCGGGGGGGCTGACCTCATATTCTGAGTCGTCCCTATCGAGTTCAGTGTTTGTACTCCTAAAGAGGACAAAGACAGAGTTTTGTGTCAGGAGGCGTTTTTATTGAGCAGCTTTCGAAAACTTTACTACCAGGCCTTCAAAATCGATGTCGGCAGACCTGAGTTTGCTCCAACAGAAAGACATTCATTGTGAAATGAATGAGTGACCTCACACACATAGGATATACTTGATGCAAAGAGAATCAATATTTCTAAATGACTGTTTTTTTCGCCTTATGCCAATCACACAGTGGAAGCCGTGGTCATGATGTAGTCCAGCATCAGCATCCAGATAAACAGTGGTGTTGTCATGCCATTGGGTGTATCGGTGTCTCCTCACAGTGTGTCCCTGCAGGCTGAGGACGGCCCGGCCCCTCCACTGGAAGGCAGCTCTCGGCCTGGATCGGAAACCTCGCTCTGCAAATCTGTGGGCACGTTATCATTCACAGCAATGTAGCAGCACTGTCCGTATTTACTTTAACAATGCGCTCCTTGGAGTTAAGAAAACTGAAAGCAAAAAGCGACACTATCAGGGCACAGTATCGGCCTGGTACTTGCGGTTTGTTTCCACGTCGATCCCTTTTTGGTTGTGTACTTGCCATTGTTTTCCGGTGACGGGACCTTCAACGCCTTGGCCTTCTGGGCCTCCTTCCACTCCGGAGGAGACAACTCCCACAGCAGGTCCCTGCATCTTGTGTACTCGATCAGGACTTCCTGTTGTTTAGCAAACTCACTATGAAAAGATAAAAGGCTTGTTTTAAAAGGCACACAACGTTTCACCGTCCCTCACTTTCTTCAAACATCGGCAGAGTGCACGCTTGGGCGTGTGATTGATACAGTATCATCAGAGGGCTACCTAGTGACCGCCCCTATTTCAGCGGTCAGTTTCTTGATCGCAGCACTCTTCTCCTGCCTGGCCTTGGACTCTCTTTCAAAACTGTCAACAGAAAGGAAACAAGTGTTCACATCCCGCAAAGTCGGACCGTTTATCCGACATGTGGCGTCTCGATGCTCCGTCTTACAAAGCTCTGGCCTCTACCAACTTCTTCTCGCGCTCCCTGAGAATCTCCTTGATACGGAGCTTTTCTGTCTCCAGGAACTCTTCAAGCCGTCTCTGTTCTTCCTCCTCTTTCATGATGGCTTTATCCATCTCCTCAATCTCAGATCTTTTACGGTTCAGAGAGTACTGAAGGGAGGGGGGAAATGAGACTGTTTGAAAAATCCATTATATAGCCAAATTGTTGTTTTCGAACAAACTAAGAGCAAACTTTCCAAAAAGCACTGCTCAGCGACAACTGTGGAACAGAATCCAGATTGTTGATTTTTTTCCGAATCATTTACCTCCAACACTGCCTTCTGCCGCTCCATGGCGAGCAGGTCATGTTTGCTTTCTTTTGGAATCTGATCTGTAGACGGACGCCAGTTAACATCGATACGCTAGCGGGGTGACCAATGGCTCACTGTACTCGGCTTACTTTGTTTCATCATGGCCCTCTTCCGCTCAGATCTGATGGCAGTCTGCTGATGGAGAACTGTCCTACTCTTGACTTGTCTCAGATTTTTCATCTCTTCCTCCTCTTGTTCCCCCAGCTCCTGCCTCAGCATGGCCACCATTCGCGCATCGCGGCTTGTCTTCTCATCGATTGGCAAGGCCAGGAATTTATGCATCTCCTTCAAATTGGGGGGAGAACAGTAGCCAGACTTAAAAAACGCAGATAGGTTTTTCTGTTTGCAGATATGGTCACACGCGAGTATCATGCAGTGTGTGTAAAACGACCCCTTTGTATTTACATAGTTGTACAGAAATTAAAGAATTCACACCAACCTCTTTGCGGCCCTTTCTTTCACTAAGAACAATTATGCTCTTACTGTCTGGCACTTTGAATGGGCTCCGTCGAGTCTCCCTCTTCAAGTCTGCAAACAATGTAAATGTGTTTTGTTAGACACAAAAATAAGCCTTTTCAATGTTCCCTGTTGGCATTTTACCGATCAGTCATCACCATCAGTACCTGCTTCAGGTAATTTGGCCGCTCTGTCTGACACAGCATTACTGCCTGAAGCGATCGCTGCTCCTTCTGTTGGAAGCACAATCAGTCACTGACTGTATTGTCAATGTGTCTTACATGTGATTCATGGCATATTAACAAATATTTACGTGGATGTGGCGTCGACATCTCTGGGTTTACGTCTGGCATCTGGCAACGCAGTGAGTCAACGTTTTGTTTGGCTGCGGATTGAAGGTGAATATTTTCAAATCTTAATCATATGTATTTCCTGGTAAATAGAAAACCTCGGTACTGTCAGTATTCCTGCATATGAGTATTTTGGAAAAACAGGTTGAGAGAGTGGGGGTGGACAGGAGACGACTATTGTCCTAAACAACCCTGGTCAATGGATACATCGGACCCATCTGAATCATCAATGTGATGAAGTCGGTTACACTAACGTTAGCTAAGGTTACATGTCATTTTTCTGTCCTTTTGATGCTTCAACTAGTTAAATGTTAGTTGCAATTACACTAATCCTGCTTTGAAAAATGTGTTGCTATTGTGTATGATGTAACGTTAGTTTAAAAAAGCTTATATATAATAGCCTCCAAATGAACTGTTTAATTTAGAGACTGTCTATTAGGTTAACGGCTAACAGTCCACTTTTACCGACTAACTGACGTCAGCTAGCCAACGTTAGCTAATCTTAACGTCCCAGTCCGACTGTTTTTACGCACTTCTTTAACCTGATATTAGCAATTAATTCAACCTACCGCCGGATAAAGCTGACTACGCAGGGCAGGAGACCTCCTCACTTTAGCATTCAGCGCTCGGGCGACAACTTTGCTCTTCAGGCCGGGGCCGTTTCCGTGTGTACCGTTGTCCTGGTAACCGTCGCCTTAGTGGAATCCAGCCTTTTCGTTTGAATTCCACTGGTATGCCTTTTGAATATGTATGTTGCTGCTATCGTTTGTATATGTTTCAGAACGTTGGTTGCGTTGATTAAACATTGAGGAGTCACTAGTCACTGGCTATTTTGTGAAAAAAATATTATTTAAAAAAGCTACGAGCGTCCCCAGTTTACTTTGATGTGGTGATTACCAAACTAAGAATAAGCAGAGTTACAGGACTTGGTCTTTAATTCTACGTGGCGGTATTATTAATCCTCCACTAGATGGCATAGATAGATCATGAAATTTGTCGACAGAACTATTTTCTTTGTCAGAAAGCCTTCCTGGGTAGAAAACCCCTAACCCCAACCCCAATGTCCCCCCAAACCCTAAAGCCTGAGGCCTGAACCATCAGGGCCTCACTGACGTCACCTGGTAAATGGTTGTTTGAGGGCTTTAAAAGGTGTGATTATGAATTCACGTCACCATGACAACGTCAAAAATATATGATTTACAGTTGAGGGTATTTATTTCATATTTTTTATTCTCTTTGAACGTCTTCTAGGCTCTTTTTTCATAATATGAGAGGTTGTTTTAAAGATGTTTTACTGTTTTTTGTCAAAATAGCTTGAATGAAAAAATTAAGTATTTGTTGAATAAATTATTCCTTATCAATAATTTCTGATTTGATGTGGGGTTTTTTTTCCAATGTTTTCAATGTTTGAACCTATATGATCCTTCCTCTTTTTTTACCCCTATTTTACGTCTCCACGTGCTCACTGGTTATCCAGTCAACGTCACATTAACTTGTGAGTAATTAATCAAAGTTAGCATCTGAGGCTGACTTATACAAAAAGGGTTCAAAAAGGGCTGAAGATGTCTGCCAGTCTCAAACCCTTGGAGGTGTGGCAGTGGGACAGAACCAAACACAAAGAGTGACTCAAAGTCAGTGAGTCTGGGTGAGATTGGGCCCCTGATCAGGACTATAAGACATGCTGTTTAAAGACATGTCAACATGTTTGTATTTGCAGTTGCGGAAATGATAATTTCCTCCTTGGTTAAGGCGATCTAGCTGCCAACACTTCTTTTAGTTCACAGTTTGTACCATTGAATATACTTAGAAGCCAATACTGTACATTTCCGCCCCCGCATCCACGCATGACCCTGCACATCTCAGCTCAACCAAGCAGCCCACACGCTACACTTGCTTGTAGGAAATCCCAGTTTCAGATGGTCAGGCCACATGGGAGTGTTGGCTCTCGCAACAGAAACGGGTCCTGTTGTGTTAGGGAAGAGAAATAGTGTTTTATTTAAAGTTGAAAGACCTGTTACGTGCTTGACAAGGATGGAAAGGAAGCATACAGCGTGAACTTTTAAGTGCCTTACGTACACCAACCTTGCATGCATTGTTTTCACTTCTTAAGATTTGTGGCACAACTGCTCTCAAGTTAAAAAAACAAACATTTTTGAAGCTTCTTTGTTCGTCCAGTTTTCCAGGAGGATGCTCTGCATACTGTCTCACCGTCTCACAATGCAAGAGAGCTTGTAAGCAGCTGTTTTCTTGCAGCGCCGCATGGCTTTGTGTAGCATTTCACATTGCCTCCGCCTCCTCCGCTTCGGAGCCCAAAGACAGCAGATATTTGGTATTATGTAAGCGGTGAACATTCCGTCCTCTATGCATAATGGCATCGACAGCTTTTCTTTACATATATTTTACACGGCCAATGAACATTAACTAACAATGAAAAAGGACAAAAAGAAGTCAGTATGTGCTCAGTATAAATAAACACACAAAAGTCCCAGACAGAAAGCGTTAACATATTGATTTGAAATCTTCTCTTGAATAAAATATGAGATGGAAGGATTTCTCCCCTGGAGGCAAAGATGATAAAAAAATAACACGGCAAAGTAAGCATTATGGGAATCTGTAAATGAAATCCAAGTAAAGAGACTCATTCTTGAACATGAATATTCAAAACACAAAACAATAAGGTTGAATGTTTTGGGGGGAAGCTAGTAACGGGAAGATGAGTTTAGAATAAGTCACCAAATAATTGGTGTAAAGTGTTTGTTTTTCAAAATTGAGTTGTACACTCCGACTTAACAGAGATGTTGACAAAGATGGAACATGTCATCTGTTCAAATGTCATATTTAAAACCCTCAAAGCAACACACGGGATGATTGTTGATGAACACAAAAGCTTTTCTTTCTTTGTAGAGTTAAAGCCATTTTTATCACTTTCATCAGACATTCGATATATATCAAATATTAAGGAAACTGATTTATCCGTGTGACTTCTGACCACATGCAGAGGCACATTGGTGCCTGTGCTCTCATTTGATATTATCAGCGATGGAACATCTGTCCAATAATGTAACATCCACTCAAAGTACCATGTGTCACTAACTTTGTCCTGGTACCAAAGATCTGCAACACAAAGTTGAAGGCCTCTGCATTTGTTTGATTGCTTTTCCTCAGATTGAAATTTCTTTGTCTTTACTTCCTGACTTATACATGTATTTTTGTCAAGTTTCACAAAAAATAGTCATGTCAGTTATAGTTAAATAAACATGACTTTGTCCGTGATTGGCAAAGCCTCAAAATATAATGAAAACATTCAGAGGAAAACACTCAGTTGATTTAATTTGATGGTCTTCATCTCCTGTAGTCGAAGACGATCTGTTTAATTAAAGTAATTATTGTTCTGTCAATTGGAAAGACATTTTCTAAATATAGGACACTTATAAGCCTGTCTATTTCCTTTTTACACGGAATTATTATTTACTGAGCATATGAGTGAATCTTCAGTTTGACATGCAGAAGCTAAGAAATTATTTAAATCCTCAATGTCAATCTATCAGCACAGCCAGCTCAGTTCATGCTTGTTTTCTACGCAAAGAGGGTCCTATGAAAGGTCTATGAATACTGACGGTTTCCTTTGAAGAGGATAGTGCGTCACTTTCAATTAATATGAATTTTCTTCATTGGTACACTCAATGCAGTCAACCTGGTGGGGAAATTATGTTGGGAATCTTGCCAAGACAGTTTCCTTCAAATCAGGCTTCTTCTATTTGTGCGGTTGTACTCAAGCCACCTCGTTGTGCAGCTTCTGGTTACGGTGCAAATGACTGGCTCTGCACGGACACACACACGTGTTCCTTATCACCCCGGCTGATTGGACCTCTAACCAGGTGTAAGGTGCGCGGTTTAACAGGAATGTTGCCAATTTACCAATTCCGATGACACCAGGGCGAGCTGCCCTTCCCAGCAAGTACATTGCGAGAAGGTACGGAGATCTCCATCAAGGACGGCAATAATCGGGCAACTTCAGAGCAAACATCCATGTGGGTAGACCGTCTCCACCTGCACTAGAGTGATGGATCACAATCAAATCTAGAGCCTCCACTTTGATCAATGAGTACTTTCGATGAAGTCATTTCACAGTTCAGGGGTCTTCAAACACCGATGGTCTCTGCGTCCATCACCTGAGTCATGGTGGCTCTTGTGCTACTTTTCCAGTTACTTATGTTTGTCAATCTTCCTTTGTCTTCACATTTAAATGAACCAGTTCAGTGTCTGTCATCAGCTTAATTTCGACAAGTACAAGTGCTGATAAACCAACTGTGCACTGCCTCAAGTGACGGGCAACATCAGAGGCCATATGGTGCAGAAAAAGAGAACATATAGAACTATAGAGAACTATGGAGCCTTTTTTAGGATGTGGTGAAGACTTAAATGGAGACCGACTATTGGCCTCAAAATTATTAGCATGGGTTTTCTCTCTAATTTAATAAACAAAAAAAAGTGTTGCTATTCTGAATGGCCTCATCTTTTTCCTTTGTCATTCTGGCTTTGTATTTCCTGCATTGCATCCCCCCCTTGTTTGCCTTGTTGGGCTCTAGACACATATTGCTGTTGCCTAGAAGCGTCTTTCTCTCAGCTTAGCCTCTTGAACAAGCATATTGTGATGAATCCTTATTGTGTCATATAAATCTAAGAAAAAAATCAGTCCAAAATGAGCTGTTCAACATGTTGAAGAGACCACCAGCCCCCATCACCCTGTGAGATTCCACCAAGAAGGCTCAGCAGAGGTTGTTCTTCCTGAGGCAGCTGAAGAAATTCAACCTGCCAAAGACAATGATGGTGCACTTCTACACCGCCATCGTTGAGTCCATCCTCTGCTCCTCCATCACTGTCTGGTACGCTGCAGCCACAGCCAAGGACAAGGGCGACAATCTTCCGTCCCTGCAGGACTTTTTCACTTCCAAGACTCTGAAGCGAGCTAGATAGATTGTAGCCGACCCCGTCACATCCTGGACAGAAACTGTTCGTTCCCCTTCCATCTGGCAGGAGGCTGAGGTCCATCAGGACCAAGACCTCATACCACATACACTGTTTTTTCCTGGTCGGCAGTCGGGTTCATCAACAGATCCTGGGTCCCCCACTGACTTAACCCTTTTTCCTCCGTTCACTGCACATCCCTTCCAACTCCATACGTAAATACACTTGATCACTTTCACATACACTCACATTACATTTGTGTAGACTCATTTAATGGCAAAAAATGTCTGATCTGTACTCCATCTGTGTGAACTATTTGCCACGAGGCACATAAAAAGTATCCCACTCTGACCCACAGTATGCCCGTTGTGGTGGAAATTTGTGGATTTAGCCCATGTGAGAAATCAAAAGTATCTTGAGCTTGCTTTGTGATTAAGTATTTATTACTAACTAGAATATAGAAAAATGATAAAGAATACAGAAATCATCAGCACAAGCCGTAAGCACAGACAGAAGTCAAATGACTACAATTCAGCTGAAAAGGGGCAGAAAGTTCCTTCTCCCAAAAGGAGCAGGAAGATCTGACAAAGTTTCTAGGGGGACGAGGAGCTTTTATACATCTCTGAAGGTTCGAGGAATGCTAACCAGATGTTGTTTCGGGAACCTCCACAACCCTCTTAGTGGGACCAAATCAATAATTTTGACAGACAGGAAAACAGAGGAGAAAGGTAAATAGAAGAACATGATATGGTCTGTCCAAGCCACATATGGATTTCATTGTAGACTAGGTCAGGTCACGAGTTTCCCAAGAAAGGTCACATACGAGTTCTTGAGACTCTCACAATATGCACCTCAACAAATTCTC